TTACAGCATTGATTAGGGTATTGGGGCACCATTGTGCAAAAATTATATCCAGATGAAATGGGGTGAAAAATAACTATTATTACACAGGAGCTTTTTAAAAATAGAAAAATCAAGATGTTCTTAAATAATCCCTTTTAGTTCAGTATTTTTTACTGAAAATCTCTTTCCTTTGTACTTTGCACACCTTTTCAAAACCTAAAGAAGAATAGTAATTCCAAAAAATGTATGTAAACCTTTAAAATTTGCTGTCTTATTTTCCACAGAGTGTTGTCCTTGTCCACTGTCAGGTATGCAATCAGGCTCGACAAATGTTTGTTGAATAAATAAATGAACAGATATACTGTGACAGCCTTGAGAAAGATCTGGATGATACTGAGGCTCAAGAGAGACAATGCTGAAAACCTCAATCTTCTGTGATCAAAGAATCATTCATTCACTGAAAAATTGGAGAATTTTCATGATATGGTATATAGATGGGCCATAAATATTTTTTTGCTGTCCAATAGTACTTTCTTTGCTGATGGCACTGTTTTTGCATCTACACTGTTTAACATGATAGTCACTAGCTATATGTAGCCAGTATAACCAGATTGCTGAATTTTATGTCATTTCAACCATTTAAATTGTAATAGCCCTGTGCGGTTAGTGACTACCACAGTGAGCAGTCCCACTAGGATTTTACAATGTGTAGAGCTGTGGAAGAACATGGCACATTTGAAGAAATACAGGACTTTTAGCCACTGATGTCAGAAGTAGGGTTTGGAAAATCTGCATGGGGACAACTTGTCAAAATCTCCAGGTGTCATACAGCTGAGTTTACATGTTATTTTGCAGACAATGTATAATCACTGGAGGTTTCCAGGTGGGCAGTCATATGATTAGATTTGTCTCCTAGAAGTTACTTCTGTGGCCATGGGAGCAGAAGTCTAAGCTGGAGACTAATTATTACACATGGATATTAGCACCCAGTTTTCAAATTCTACAGGGGCAGAAAATAAGTTGGTACAACAAAATTATATTCTGTAACTTACTTGTAATTACCCTGTGGTCTCCCTAGATAGAGTATTAGGAAATGATGGTTGGTTATTTATCTTTGTCAGAGGGAAGGAATAAATGATGAGAAAATTAGGAGTCTGTCTCTTGGACTTGTTCAGAGGTTGTTCTATGGAAAACAGAAAATGTAATAGCTTTCTTCGACCCTCAGGGCCTTAACCATCACAGCAAGATGGAGAAGGGCTACAGGCAATACTGAATCTATGATGGTGTTTTCCAGCATCGTTGAGCAGCACAAGGTACCCCTGCCTCCTGTGTGAGGTGAAGCCATGTGGTCTCCATGGAAAGTACGGTTTCAAAAAGCAGCAGTGGAAAGAGTGCTGGACTGAGAAATATCTAAAAGTTTTAGAGAAGACTGTGGTCTATGATCTTTAAAGCTCTTTCTTGTTGTAACTAATGTACCACGTCTGGATAAGTTCTTCTGGCTATGGGACATTAGAGTAGGCACAAGGGCACTCTGTCTGCACCTGCAAAGAGAATTAATCTAGTGATAGAAGACTTCTCCATTGTGGTCCAGTACTGGGAAACAAATCAACGGAAAGTCCCTTAGACAGTGGCTTGGTGATACTTGCAATGTTCCTTCAAGAACATCTTCATGTTACCTGGTGTGGATCTGTTTAATTCTGTGGCAGTCGTGGAGAGACTGTAATCCATTCCTGGTTTCTAATTAGCTACTGGAATTGTAGTATGATAGCTTTTGTTTTAAATAAATTTTATAATACAGAATGTAAATCTCAGAAAAATGTCATAGGTATGTAATTGCCCTTTCAGTCATGATGTCCACTTATCTATTTATTTAGATTTATAGTCTAGTAATCCGAAGGTAATTACTATTTCTAAAAATCGAGATGTGTTGTGGAAGCATTTCCAAATGTGTAGCATTTCTTAAAAGGAGCCTGAATTCAAAAGTCTGACTTTATCTTAACCAAATATTTTTGGCAATGCTGAAGAAATTTTCTGAGATTAATTTAATAAATGTTTCCTGAAGGGACACATAGAGTGCAAACATCTCAAACTTGATTCATTACATTTTTCAACTATGCTTTTGCATACTCTGAGCTACTTGTTTCAGCATTTGGTGTTATCACAAAAATCTTAAACCACTTCTAGAATTCTCCCCTTCATCATTACTATACTATTATTCGTGTGCTGGACCGGGACAAGCATCCTTTCTATGATATAATCTGAACCTGTAATTAAGGAATGCATGAACACGATAGCACTTGAAGTCTGACTTTATTTTCCCCTCATACAAACAGCTAATAAGGCACTGTTAAAAACGAAGATACTTCCTTCTTTTTCCTTCACATAGTACTTGAAAATGTAAACAATATTGATCTTGAACTTCTGAATCCTTCTACATTTTTATCATCCTTCAGATCAATATTCATTTGTTGGTGTATACCACTAGTTTACAGTATAAAAGCAAACAATCTGAGGGCAGACTTTTCAATTGTGTAGCAGGCTTGTAGTTGCACTTATTTTAGTCTGAAGAAGAAAAACACTGCTTTAGGAAATGGGTCATGTGGGTGTATAAGTGGTTCGTGGAGATCCCCGATATGCCGTGGTTCTGGTCCGAGTACCACTGAAATACAAAAGAAAGAAGCTTGGTATATTCTGCAGACACACAAAATGCACCTAGATTTGACTTTTTGTGTGTGTGTGTGCGCTCTCAGGACATGATTTTTTAAATAGTCTTGGGAAATTCTACCTAAAAACCACTTTAGTAAATTAGTTTGCATGTAAACATTTAAGGGAAGAATATTTAAAGAGCTTTAGTTAACCTTCGTGACTGTCTGATATTCCTTAAACTTGTATTTTAAACCTCTGCTTTCACAGCAGTCACACCCCAGCACCCTAGGGAATCAGGAATCAGGTATGTTGGTTCTGGCACTTTGAATCCCTGGAGCTTGGTTCATCTGAAAAACAAAGGCTGTGGATTTGTTTTTCCCTAAGACTGCTTATAGCTCAAAAATTCTATGAGGCTCTTAGCCTGTGAATCTAGCTCTTCTCTGCTTCAGAAAATTCACAATATAATGTGTCACATGTAACCATAAACACCCTTTATAGGTGTTAAAAATCACATTGTAAAAAGGGGGAATAGTATAACTTAAAATTTTTTTCTTAGGAAATGTCAGAAAGATGATTGTTTGCAGTGAATAAAGGTGGAAATGGTCATGATGTAATGCTATATGTTTACTGAGTTAAGTTTGCTTCTAGGGTGGGGAGGGAGAGGAGAGTTGCAATTTAAATGGTCAGAAAAATCTCACCTCATGATTTGTAAGTTAATAAGAAAAACACCAACTATCAAGAGATGGAGTTCCTTTCCTTTAACACAGTCTCATTTAACACCGGGGACTGAGGCAGAAATTATGTTTGCCAAAGAGCAGACAATGTGATTACCAAGCATTGGCCTTCTTTGCCTCAGCTTTTCTCTTATTTTGTTCTGTTTCTATTTCTTTCTTTGCAAAACCTGAATTTGACTCTAAGCTTATTCATTCATTCATTTACTTTGAAAAAAATTAAGCTTCTTTATTGGGTCAGGCATATGCCAGGTGCTCAGCAAACAGAGACGAAAGATTGTCTCACCCTGAAAGAACTGTTGGAGGCTCTGAGGTTCCTATAACATTTGGCAACTGCTTCTTACTGAGTTAACAGAATTTTTTAGCTGCTTTGGGACTCATAGGCTTCATAGGTACTCTAAGAAAATAACTGCGCTTACATAAATAAGACTGCAGAACCATTAAAGGTTTGAGCTAGATCATTTATTCCATAAGCTCTCTTATTTTATATGACCTAAGTGGAAACCCTCCATGTAACCTGGCTAGTCTAGAGTCCTTCAGAGCATTCATAAAGAAGTCAGTGTTTGTTTGCTAATGTTGTGTTCACTTTACTCACCAGTCTTCTTGTCAGGTTTTACCAAAAACAATAAAGGATAAGACCCTGCTCTTTTTAGCTTGGAGGTATAAGTCCACGAACATGAGTAAAACAAAATAATTACCATTGCCTGGAAATCCACTTGCGCATTAACCAGAGCTTTAGCGATCTGTGCTGAGTTTTGGAAGTGCACATTATCTGCAACAAAGGAGAGAGAGAGGGAGAGAGAGAGAGAGAGACAGAGAGAGAGAGAGAGAGAGAGAGAGAGAGTTAAAGTGTTGTTAAATACCAGAAAGCATAGAGTGACAATGTACTGCCTGGAAATGAACACCAACAATTATCTAGTCATGCATTTGACATTGTCAGCAGTGAGTAATCACACTCAGATATGGAAATGTCCCTGACTCTTAGGTACTGACCCTGATCATAGGCATAGGAGGATGCTTAATGTTTCTTAAACAAAGTGATGCTGGCTCAGTATTTTTATGTGTAAGAGTCTTGCTTAAACCTCACCATCTGCTGTTCCGTGGATGAGAAGATAGTCTACATTTCTGAAATATTCTGCTCTTGCCATCACAGTTGAATTCTGGAAAAGAGGAAAAATTAACATTTTAGTTGCTGTGAGTTCTAATAGAAAACTAGCTAAATCATTGTGCAATGGACTTAGCACCAATACTGAAATTATGTATTGCTTTGGTTGATAAATATTTAAGAGTCAGAGCAACACATTTTCATCATCATTTGCATTACTTCCATCTGATTCTTAGTTTGAAAGACTGAAAGTTTATGTGTCATATGTTACATATGAGTGAGACCTTAGGCATAAATGATGCCCGCTCAAGCTGTGTAGGGGCTGAGGGTGGGGAGGAGGGTTAGGAAAAGGAAGGTTAAGGAAGGGGGCTGGTGAAAGAATACACAGAATTCAAAAGGGGTAATATCCCTTTTAGTGAGGTGGTTTGCAATCAACACAAGACCATCATTTTTGAAAGAGTAAACTCTGAATTACTGCTTTAAATCATTTGACACATTTGAAATGAATTAACCGTCTAAATAAAAAGGAAGATGCTTACTTTATAGTGTGCAAGGTTATCGTCCTTTGTTGGCAGACCCATGAATCGCTCTGTATATATAGATGCTGTAAAATACATATGAATATGTTGTTTGCATGTTGTACACGTCATTTGATTAACCAAAAAGGTGAATTAGTTTAATAATTGTTCCTCAGTTACATTATGGGAGGTCTAGAGGTAAATTCTTGCTCCACTTTGTAAAATGGTTGGCCTCAATGAAAGTATGGCATTTCTGAACTTCGCCTCAGTAGGTGTGATAAATATGTAGGAGGAGATTACAGAAGCAGGAACTCCTGTATGTTTCCTTTCCTTTCCTTCCTCAGCCTTTTTCACTACTACCTTCTAAAGGACAATATTGAAGTGGGGATGACCCATAGAATAACCTAGAGAATGATTTTCAAAGAAATCACAGACAACCACCTCCAGTGCTTTTATTGGTATCAGATTTCATCTGGGATGAATATATGTTCCCAAGTCAAGTCCATCCCCCTCAGCACCACACACACACACACACACACACACACACACACACATACACACACCCCATATGCTTTTTACTTTCTGAGTATTCTCTACAAGTCACAATTGCCTCATTTTTACTGCAACATAGAAAAGAGGACCTCATGGAGGCAAATTTTTGTATAATCCTTAGAGCTACTTTCAAATAATCATTCTGCATTAAGGTTAGTTGCAGAAACAGGCATGTACAGAAGGGTGCCTCCAAGCATAATTTTCATTTCTCTTGATTTCTGGAGCAAATGAGTTGCAACTGAAACCTGCAACACAAAGGTGAATTTCTTGGCCCCTAGCCTGCTTTTGCAAGACATTTGCTTTAGAGCCAGCAGTGCTGTGACTCTGCGTTTAAAAGCACAGAATTAGCAGTGATTTTAAAGACTTCATTCAGGTGGAGACTCAAAATTTCTGAGAGAAAATAACATATATTAGATTTTAGAAGAATCCTACCTTTGAAAGTATCTTTGATTGCTACAATGTGATTACAATGAATCACATGAACAATCTCATTTATAGATACTTTTTCCCAATGACACTGGGGTGATTGTACTGCATAATTTGTTTTCCTAACAACATCAAATATAAGAGTAACTGCATGCTAAATGTTTTCATGACAATATTTATGAAATGTTTCCATACCGTAATATTCCCAGCTGGAGACTGGAGCCACTGCTATTCCACATTTAAAAAGACCAGAGCCAGATGCAAGGGTCAGTGATGAAACATAACCTCCATAGGACTGTGGAGACAGTTACGTGTCAGTACCAGAATTACTTTCAGAAGATCCTCCATATTTTTATAACAGTGCTACTCATAGTCATTACTGAAGGGAGCAGGGCTCATGCACCAAGGTACATTAAATGGCAATCTGACACCTTGGACAGCAAGGCCCCACCAGGAGTTTCATCCATAACAGACCAGAAATAATTGGTGTGCTAATCCGAGTAGACTCTCTGAAACCAGGAGAGTATTAAGAGCCAGGTGTAATTATAAGTCTTCTAAAAAAATAAATGTCTTCTTTTCATCTATACCTTTCCAACAAGGGCCTTGCTAAAACAGAAACAGTATGCTACTTGAAAAAGATGCATTAAACAAAGGAAATTATTCCCAAAATGTAAATGTAAATCACTTTCTACAGTTACAAATGGCCTGTGAGGCAGAACTTATATTGATATGTTTACTTAGTTTTACAACAAAACACAAAAAGAAGGAGCTGAGAACCTTTCAGAGATTTTAAGACACAGTCAGAAATTGTGAATTCTGTAGTTACATATTCTATTTTGAAGACTTCTGAAATAGTAGCTCAAAAGAGAAAAATATCATTGAGATTTTTAAAAATCTTTTATTTCTTCCCATGAATTTAATAGAAAAGCAAAGAAATACAAAAGGAGATGCATAGTGTAGAATCAGCAGTAGGGTTAGCCCTCATAGGGGTCTTTTCCCCAAGGAATCAACAGAAATGGGACCCTTGTAGCAGAATTTCCATATTACTTAGATATTTGAACCTCTGGCTAATTACAGGGACAGGAACAGGAACAGGACATCTCAGTGGGGCTGCCTGTCTTCCTGAAACTCAAATTAGGCCTGTACAGACCTACTGGGTGAGAAGTGTTCCTCTTAAAAGCATGGCTAAGCAGTCTTCTGGAACATTAATCAAGAACAATGTGTGTAGTAAATCATGAAATAATTTTCAGTGTTTTTTTTCTTGCTTTGATACAAGAATATCTGTAGACCTCATAAGGAAAGTGGGTGACATTCCCACTAAAACTACCCCTGAGTTTCAGGTCATACACAACCTTCCTCAGATTGTAATACATTATATCTTTTTTTTTTTTAACCTCAGAAAAGACACTCTTTGAAAAGGAGAACAGTGAAAGCAAGGGAGAAAAAGAAGACAAAGACAGACAGACAGACAGACGGCAATGGCAGCAGGTCAGCGGCCAAGGTCTACCTTTAATCTGTGAAATACAGAGAGTGGAAGAATAAGCTGCAATTGTGTTGAATTCAGCAGTTAAATGAAGAATCCTCTAACTAGTTTACAGTTTCATGTTTCCAACTCTGGTGAATTTATTGAAGGCCGTTGGCTGCAAAATACAGAATAAAAGAGGCGGCTCCAATTATACCACGGCCTCTTTTTATTATACTTGGAGGAGAACTAAGCCATGTTTTAATAGGGGAAAATTATATTTTAAAAACAGAAGGAACATTTGCATTTGAAAGTCATTTTGGTAAGTGAAAATTTTCTATCTCATTCAAACTTTCACTTATAAAAATAATTTGTTTTGATTAGTAGGTTAGCAAGAACTATTCCTAAAATGGAAGGGATTTCCTTCCTTTTTAATTTTAAATTTAAATAAGAGTAAACTTAAGGCCTTTAGAAAATGATTATTGTTCATGATTTTATTGGAAAAGAATATTTACAAAAAATAAAAACACTAGGTCTTGCCTCTTGTCTTCAATGCCCCAGAGCAGAAAATAGCATGAAGTGAGATTGGATACAGAAAGATTTTGCATATAGTAAAAAGTTTCTTGAACATTTCTGCTAAAAATCCTAGGAATTATTAATATGTATAGGCTCAGAGATTAAGTGTTAGTGCTGTATTTAAATATAATCTTCCTGTTTTCATAATGAATACAGTTTTTTTCTCTAGGGATTTATTAGGGCAAAAGCTACTGTATTTGTAGCACAATAGAAGAAGGCTATGCTTTGAATTTCCAGGCAGCTTGGAAAAGCTGTGCCTATTGTAAATGAAGGGGGAGAGAGGCCCATGCTGACTTTTTATGCTCTCCCATGAGTGGGGCTCCCAGCCTGAGTGGGTGACTGCAATAGGCGAAGAACCTACAGAGCAGATTGGCCTTAAGAATTCTAGAACTGTGTCCTTTGCACTTAGATGCCTTGCCATTTTATTTAAATGAAGAATGTCTTTTAAAACATTCTTAGAATGGCGCAGAATTTTGAGAGGTCTTATGGAAGATTTTATATGAGCCATAATGCACATTTTACCTACAGACAGTAATAATAACTAGTTAACATTTTTCTGACCAAGCTTATTGCATTGGTCTTCTGGGGGCCCACACAATCTGTCTCCCTTCTCCCTCCTTACACCTCCTCCACCTGTCTCTTCTGATTGCTCATTGGCTCTCCTCATGTTCCTTGAATTCTCCAAGCATTATCTAGCCTCAGGACGTTTGCAAATGCTATGACCTTCTGCTTGGTGTTTTTTATTCCGAAGACAGTATGACTCACTTCCTTTTTTCTAATTCAAATGTCACCTCTCTTCTCTGATCTTGTAGTTTAAGCTTATTCTCTGCACCCCTCCTTGTTTTGTTTTACATTTCTCCATGGCATTAACACCATTCCACATTCTATAGTTTACTTATTTATATTGCTCGTTGTCTTGGTCCTCAAAGATTCCAAGCTCTGTGAGATTAATTTTGTCTGTCTTGCCAATAAATATAACCTCAGCCTTGAGGATCTGGACTAACACAGAATAGGGATAGAAGTAATATTTGTTGAATATATGACTTTGCTATGAACTCAGGTAATCCTCCCAGTGACCTAGCAAGGAAGTGATTGCTGCGTTTCACAGTGAGGGAAGTGAGATTCAGAATGAACTATGGGCTCGGTAAGCAGGAGAACGGAGGCTTCAACACAGGACACCTAACTCTACAACTCAGGGAATTTCTCCTGTATCCCTACACTAGAGCATCTTCTTCGAAGGGAAATAATAGTCTCATTGCAAGTGCAATTGTCCTACTTTTACGTTGTTGATCAAGCACAGCAATTCAAATTGCTGACAATTAGTCAGTGGAAGAGAAAGGAACTAAGATTAAATAATTAACTAATGCTTATTCAACACCACCTGGCTAGGTCTATATTAACAAAGCAAAGCCCCTAAATGAGTCTGTTCTAATAATTTAGGCAAAATTTCACAGCTCTATAGTTGTCAGAGCAATTGCTTCAATTTTTCATTCCATACAGGGTTTTAACAATTTTGGTATTTTGGGTTAGAGAGCTCTTTATTGTAGGGTCTTTGCTGCATTGATGGAGGTTTAACAGCCTTCCAGGCTCCTATCTCCTAAATGACAATGACCCTCCCTAGGTGTGGCAATCAGAAAGGATTCCAGACATTGCTTAATGTTCTGAGGACAAATCCACCCTACTTTTTAGGCACCATGGCGATCACATAGTAGATATTTAATAGCCGCCTAAAAGCCAGGCTATTCGGTTTTGCTTTATTTGAGCCAGAAAAATGAAAGGGGAAGGTGGAATTACCTCCTTCCCTTTTTGGTCTGGATAATGGAGAAGCATGTAGGATTTGTCTTACTGACCAACTGATTCTGGAAGAAGTTAAGTTAAACATGATGTGTCATGCAGACCACAGAAGTAACAAACATTTCATGACAACTGATAGTTTGTCCCCTAACATGGAATACATTAATAGCAAAATAACCTTGTGATCTTCATCAATGTCTTCCTCTTTTTTGCCTCCAATTTCTAATACATTTGTGGTTATTAGTTTGTAAACAAACGATCAGAGCTGTGGCATTTTTCCAATCTCTAGTTCACTAGCGTACATTAGGTGCTTGGATCCATATCCAATTCTATCCCTTGATCCTTCCTCTTCTACTGTGTTAGCCATCCTCCACTCTCCACCTAAAACGATCTTTCTAAAATACCAATACCACTCCTAATTGACTTTAACATCCCTTTTTCTATAAGTGTCCATGTTGATGTATTTGGGGATGGGTGAGGAATAAAAAATTGTGGAATTACATACTTCTTATAATGTTATGTTACTTGTCCTCTATTATACCTATATACACTATTGTAAAACATTTAATGATTTACTAAATTACTAGACCACTGGTTGTTCCTAAAAAATCTAGTCCTAGTAAGATACATTTTTGGAGAACTCTGACTTATCGGGTTAAATTCAGTTTAAATAGCATCAAAATATTTGACATGGCTATATATTATGCTAAACATTTGAAAAACAAAGTTAAGAAAAGATAGTCCGTTCCATTAATGAATTCTCAGTCCTATAAAGAAAAATATAAAAAGCTATAGGAATGCAAAATCAAACCTGAGTTGAGTCTTAAACAGCAAGTGGAAGTTTTCCATTTTGGAAGGAGAAAGAGGTAGGAAATAGAAGAAGCAAGTGGCATGGATGGACACTGCAGGTGTGAGGAACTGCATGGAAAAGCAATATGGTAAATGTTATTCTTTTAATGACAATTTTACTTATAACATTGGCACTTGTAAGGGCAAAGTACAGGGTTAATTAAGAAACAATTGCATTGGGCTGGGGATTTAGCTCAGTGGTGTAAGTACCTGCCTGGCAAGCAGGAGGTTGTGAGTTCAATACTTGATACCATAAAAATAATTGCAATATTTTGAACAGGTGCTACCTACCCTATAGTCCATCAGTGCAACACAGGATCTTGTTATGTAAAGAATGCAAACTTGGGCCCCACCCCACTACATCAGAGTCTCTGGTAGCAAGGCCCTGGCAGTGATATCTTAACAAACTCTTCACATGATGCTCTTGTATCTGAAGTTTGAGAAGATCTGATCTAAATGATGTATGAAAAAACTCTAAAGCATCATTAATGGGAGTGGAAAGAACTTAGCTGTCTGGAGGTAGAAGGGATAGAATTTACAAACCAACAGCATGCTGGAATTCAAGAGAGAGAAGGATTGGAAAACAACTTTGATCTTTCTAATTTGGGTGAGTAGGAGTGTGGTGGGCCTTTAATAGAGATAAAGACTCGCTTTAAAGTTTAGTTTGGAGTATACTAAACTTCAAATCCATGTAACTTTTGCGACAGATGATCAGGAAACATTTGAAATATGAGCTTAGAAGAAGGTTTGATGTTCATGACAGGGATCTGGTGATCATCATTATCTTTGAAACTATAGAGTCTGCCTAGAAAAATGGGGGATCAAGGTCAGATGCAGAAACAAATTGACATTTAAAGAACTAATGGAGCATAATTATCATAGATATGCAAAACATAAAAAGAAAAAGGTGCCAGAGTCACGCACAGTCTATTTTCTTTTATGTGGCGGAAAAGGTCCTTGTTATCTGGCCACCTGTCTACTATAGAACTCATATTCTACATCCTCCTCATGATTATTTAGGCTTGTGAAATTTCATGTAATCCTGAGCAAGCTACACATGCCTTGCTAACAAAAAGTTAGCTCAGGAACGTGGCAACATGGTCTTTGCTGAGCCTGGAATGCCTCAATATTAATTTATCTCTGCCAATCTCAAGTACTAATTTATTTCTGAATTCTCTCTTAACATCTACAGCAATAATTAATTACACTTCTCTCTGTCTTTCTCCATCTAAGTTATAACTCTCTTAATACTTAAAAAATTGTTGATCCATAGCCTTTCTATGGTGTCCCCCCAAGAAGGGGGTGGATATTTATCCTCTAAATATCTAACTAAAAGACCTACTTGTTAGCCAATGAAAACTCATACAAGTGAAAAAATTAATGTGCAGGGGTAAGACAGATAGATTAGTAAATGTAAACTTGTCTAAAACCTGAACAACTAATAAAAGCAGAATGGTTTTTGAAGTCTTTTCTATCTTCCATTTGCATTGCCAATTTGGGATCTGCTTAGGTATTGAGTCCATTGGCAGTTTACCTACTGCTTTTTCTCCCAAGGATGCTTTCAAAAGCCTACTTTATAGTCATTGCCATGTTGGAAACCAAGCTAAAAGGAGTAAAATAAAACTATGTCTTTCAGGGAACTTGGAAAGTAGATGTGGTAAGAATCTCTTATTGAAGAATGTCAGTTGATGCAGATATACTTTGGGGTGATAAGTGGGTTCCTTAAATCATCCCACATAGATGGTTATCTACCAAACTAATATGTAGGATATTCTATAAATGAAATAAAAAATCTTACATTATGCTTACTTCAGTCTGTAGTAAAAGCAACTACTAAAGATTCTATATATAAAGGCTAATAAAAATACAGTATGTGCTCAAATTAAAAAATACTGTCAAAGGCATACTGTCGTTAATGCCTCTCACTTTGAACACATTTATCCCATTATTCTTTTGTTGTTGTTGTTTTAAGGCAAGGTATGGCTTTGTATTGCAGGTTGGTCTTGAACTCACTATGTAGCCTGTTGGTTTTAAACTCATGGTGATTTGACTGCCTCAGCCTCTCCAGTGATGGGGTTACAGGTACCTCAATAACACTTGGCTCTTATCCCATTCTTCTTGCCATTTTCTTAAGCATTTCTGAAAGTCTTTACTAGATGTGATCAAAAATAAAGTGAGTGCTGCTTCTGACTGCCATCCAACACAAAAGCAGGCTGATAAAGTTATAAAATGTGTCCTCATCCGCCGCATTCATGGATCTGGTACCTCCGGACTTCTAACTCTTCTCCAAAGTCAAACTGGCCATGAAAAGTGGGCGTTTTTTTCAGCTGGCTCAGGACACTGAGCCAATCGGGACAGGGCACCTAGATTTGAAAGAGGTCTTTCAGAATTGCTTCAGAAAGTGGCAAGAGTGATAGAGTAAATGTGCTTGGAGCAAAGTGAAATATTTTGAGAAGGATTAATGGCAATGTGTCTTGCTGTAATAAGCAACTGCCTTCACTGTTGTTTTTGATAACAACTTTTATGTGCTCAGTTTGAAATGAGAATCTTTCAATGATTTACTTTAGGAAATTTCATTAAAATGGATAATAGAAAAGGTCTTATCTGAAATATTTCGCTATAAAAATATTTTGTTTATTTCAACCCATTTGATTTTCATTCTGTTTAGATATTTAACATTCAATAGTTTTAAGAAGGACCAAATGGCTCGAAATAACAACTTACTCCAAATTTGTAACAGTCCTCATCTGGTCACTGGGCTGAGAATTGAGCCGAATTCTGCAAATTCCCTTCAATACTGGTTTTCATTCCCTCTGTCTTGTGCAGGCCGCTTTCAGAGAAAACAGCCAAGAAAAACAACCCAAGCACAACCGGCTGCAAATTGACTTGCAAATGTACAAATTCAGACCAAAAAGTGAAGCAGGAAATCTTCTTGAAGGGTAATTATCATAATTTATAATGGGCAAACCTAAACTCTTTCCAATATTTCTCCAAACTTTCCAGTGACTTCATTGGCTATGACTGACAAGTGTTGCCACTTTTCTGTGCCTCCATAGGTCCTTAAACTTGGGAAAACATGCTAAATAACTAGAAAAACAAATAGTATTTCTCTTTGGTTAGCACAAGTTAGTAGGCCTATTAAAATGATTTGCTTGCCATGGAGAGACTTGTGTGACACGGAGAAAGAACTCTGATAGGTTGGATATGACCTCACTAGAATAAGTAACAAAGAATGTATATTCTAAAAGTTTCTGTAGTGCGGCTTTGCATAAAAATGAAACATAGAAGATATGTTTAAGTTTAAAATGACAAAGGTTATTATACTTCTGATGAGTGCTGTTTAAGTGTGTGATAATTTGATATCAAAAATTAAAGTTTTGCCTATTATGAGTTAATTGGCTGTACAAGGGAGAAACTGAATAATGGGGGTGGGAAAAAAGTACTTAAAACCACCACTTTGAAGCCCAAATTATCCAAACTGACTGTTTCCATTGACAGATTAAATTATGTTTCAACATTAACATTTCATGAGAAACTTTATAAGCGAACACTTAGAAAATGATGATTGCTGAACTGAATAACAGGCTTAAAACATATAAAACAACTCACCCAGCCCCATATGGCTATTCTTTTTTCATCAATGAAACCCATTTCTATGAATTTTCTAAAGGAAAAGAAACAAATTTTTAGAATTTTAAGTGTGTACACATGACATTTACTTCATTACACAAGCATATTTAATCCAAAAACTTAATAGAAATGCTACATTTTCTTTGTTTAAACACATGCATAATTAGGCTGCATTTACAAATAATTAAAATAATATTGCAATATTTTCTGCAAAGGATAAAGAGATCCCCTTGTACATTTATTGAGTAGCGATCTTAGCATTGCAAGCCCAGTGTCTTAACCTTGCTGGGTGAGTTACCAGAGACAGGCATGCAGACTAGCTCATAATAACCTAAGATGTAACAGCCCACGCGGGTACCACTACACTCCTAAATTCTTAACTTTTGGGAAGAATTTTAGTTTTGTTGGTGTTTTCAATATTAATTCGTTATCATCTTTTTTGCTTAGTTGGTGATAATCATCATTTCAGTTTTAGACACGTTTCATATTTAGATACCTTTAGTTCATAGTGTGGACAGTTGCACGCATCTTTTAAAATACAGAAATGATTCATTTTTGCTCTATCACAGAAAAGCCTCTATTTGAAAACTACTTTGAAAATAAATGTTCTCTTAGAACAAATGTTCATGAGAAAAATAACCTTTAAAAAGTTATGGGTAACCTTCCAAGTCGATATAAAACAAATATTTTAGGCTAGCTTATAACATGTCCCCTGTTGGCAGGTGATGTAAAGAAAATGTGGTTTATTTGGGGAATGATTTGGTAACTACTCTAGGATGCTTCAGAGAAATCGAAGCAGCACTATGAAGAAGCAGCTGATGTGCTGGATGAACAACTGTAAGGGATGGATAGGAGGAGACCAGTGAACAACACCAGCCTAGAAAAAATGCCAGGGTTTTGTTTCCTAACTCAGGTGCTACCAGTGCCCTTCCTGGTCCGTTCTTCTCCAGCAGCAGAACTGAGTGATTTTCATTAGTTGCTTCTTAAAAGGATTTTACAGCAATCATTTCATTTCACTCATTGCATTGATTCAACTTGCACGTTTCTGATGCACGGAAGAGTTGGGCAAGTGCCCGGGACAAACAGATGGGCAGAGGCCCCGTTAGTCACAGCTTTCCCGACACTGATTCTGAAGGACACTGAAGAGTGTACATGGAAGAAATGCAGTAGCAAATGGAGAGTTGCTACCTGTGATGCAGCTCAGGGTAAAGCAAGCAAATGAGAAGCACACTGTGGCCCTTCAGCTAGTCCTCCAAAAACTCCAAAACCCCAGGGAAACGAGAGAAGGTTCAGGTTCACGTTAAAAATGTCTTGCTGCTACAGATTGAAGATAGTTCTGAACCATAAAACCAGCCGAGATTTTATGATCCCCCAGAAGCTAGCAATCATACTGCTTGCATCTGGGATAAAAAGCAAATAACAGGTGATACATGAGAACAGGAAATTCTTTACGGCTCCCTTCCTAGGTTTATTCTAAAAGGATGACATTTACAGGAAATGATAGTACAATAGTTAACATGGAAATGAAACATTAACACTTAATGTGGCAGAACTGGGTTAAAGGTTAGCTAGATAATCTCAGCACTTTGTGACCAGCAAGGCCCTATAAAGTTCACCTCCAAATTCTGAAAATCTTCCAGGAAGTTTATCAAAAATACAATTGATATTATAGTTAAAGCAACATAATATAAGTAACAAACGAATTGGATGCTTTCTTAACCTCAGAAGTGAACTGAACCTTTTAATTTTCTCCCATAAAAATGATTGTAGGCAAAAGTGAACTCAGAATCCTACTCACCAATTACTGTCCTATTTTAGGAGTGTTTGGATAGATACTATCTGTAATACTATGATCAGCTCTTCCTTCTCATATAATTCTTCACCATTAATTCTCAAGTTGCAAAAAATTAAAAGCTGTAGGAATGTCAATAATGTCAAATATACCACTAATGAAAGGACTTGATCCTACAACCACTGAAATTTTATGGTTTCCTTATATTTGCGAATTTTAGAAACACTTGAAGAAAACCTTTTTCCGTTTCACATATGTTTGTGAGTTTGTAGGCATCCTCTTAGAAGCATTCTGTTTTGCATACATAAAAGTTATGAGGATGGATTGCCTCTTTTCTCCCCTTATCTGTTTAAATCTATTTGTTGGACTTGATTGGTGCTTACTGTTGTTTCCAAATACATATGTATGATTTTCTCTTGGTCTAAAACAAATTTAGTTAGATTATATTTCATAAAATAATCAAAGGGACATAGTTGATCCTCTGGCAAAAATTTGAGGGTTATAATGTAATGAAATCCCAATTCTTCAGGTCAGGTATTCAGCAGCCAACTCCTGAAACACTTCTTTGGGGGATCCATGGTTGAATCATTCTCAGGATCAGTGTTATAATGGTAGCCACTTTAGTTTTCTCAAAATATTAGGTTCTTAGGCAGTAGTGATTTCAAGCAAAGCCAAGGCCAGCCCTGAAGATACGTATACTGCTAAATATATTTTATGTTTAGGCCACGCAGCCATCTCATCTTCTTGGGTATCCACCATAAGTTCTGTGTAACAGCAGGGCTGTTACTTCAGAGTGCAGATGGTTCATCCCCTTTTACCAGACTGTAAGTGCTTTGAAAGAACTGATTGCAAATTGTGCAGTTTCATCGTGAGTGTGGATATGTATTAATATTTGATTGAATATTAATTGTGGTTGAATTAGTTATATTTAAGTTAGGGAACAGATGAGTGAATATACATATATCCTACTACTTCAAAACTTCTTCAGGTACTACCCTAAAATGTATCAGAGAAAGTAGTTACCACCACTGGTGCATCTTCAGTGCAGTTTTGTACTACTGTGATAATCAGTGGAAAGTAGAATTTGTGGCCTGGTGTCCTATATATTAAACATCAGAAATAATTTTTTATTAAGGTCTACACATGCTGTTCAGGGTTGAAATTTCACTAAACCCAAAGAAGACATTATAAAGGCATTTTTTTCTTATGCTCGAGTGGTGATTTTATGGTGGTAAATCATGGCACAAAAATATGATGTATTTTGTTGTTTTTGGTAGGCTGATGATGATGTTGATCATTATGATGATTAGGACAGGAAGATAATTATTTTTTTAACTAACTCCAAAACAAACCATTTTTAGCTCTACCAATTTTGGAAAAGATCTAACTGAATTACAAATAAGGAGTAGTTTGTATTTTGTGCTGTCTTGGAGTACTGTATTACATATCCTTAGTAATTATTGCATAGTTTGAATATAAATAAACATGACCCAAGGTGAAAACATACCCGATGGAATTGAGGCTAGAATCCTGATAATGGTGTTAGCATTCCTGTTAAGGAATATGCAATCTTTATATAAGAAACTGGATATTTTTGCTTTTAAATTAACTTTTCATTGCAAAAATTACCTCCAAAGAAATTAACAACTCAAAGCTCAAAAATCTGAATCATTGAGTATTATGGAGTCTCTCAGAATTAAATAATTAATGATGGTTATAGATTTTGGTATTGTTTAATTAAACTATCAATGTGCCATGTTTTGTTCAAATACACTGTTTTTAATTGATTTTTTTTTGTTTTATATAACTATTCACAAAAGAGAATAAATATTTTTAAATGTATGTGTTATGACTACTTTCTTACTTGTAAAAATAATTTTTAATCTAAACTCTTGTGGTTTGATTTGATACAAAAATACAAAGAACGTCTGGGCCTAATCTGTGTCATATATGTTACATTGAAGTTATTAGCTTTTAATGACATTAAGGTTGTAAAAGAAATATACAAATGAATCTTTTAAACTGATCCTTTTTTATGAATTGGTGTTTAACATACAGCTGTCACACACAGAATTATCCATCATCAAAATACAATAAACCTATAACTTTAGATTTATAAACAAGTATTCCCTACCTTCATCTGCTCACACTATTATAAAGAAACTCGACAACTAGAGAAAAAGCAGAGGAATTCTGCCATGTCCCCAAAGCAGCAGTAATTCTGGTGACAGTTCTCTTATTGTTTGAGGAAGAGATGGCTGAACTTTAATTGTGATTGATGATATAATCTGGCAGAATCAGATTATGAAATTGTATTTTCTCTAAATGTTTTCATAGTATTATTTCTATCATGGAAATTAAATATATTTTCTCAAATGAAAACTGTCATTTTCATGTTAGCATAAGTGAACTTGACAGCTAGGTTAATTACAAATGAACACCCAACAGCTGAATGTATGGGGTATGCATGGAGTCTTGAGCCATTTCCAAACTTAAAACGTAGAATTCACAATGCATAAGCAAATTCAGGTATTTTGCTTTCTGAAGATCATTGCTAGAGCCACTCAGAATTTCCCACTAATTATGAGCCTTGGTAATAATGAATGGGTATTGAAATGACTGACATATTGAACGGTCTATTCTTCACAGTGCTATAAGTCACTTTTTTACACATTTAGCACATCTCTTCCATAAATATTTTTTCCATTTGACAAAAATAGCCCTGTAAGAATAATGATAACTTTGGATTAAATGAGGAAAATAGATAAAAAGAATTAAGTCATTCAGGATAGGGAAACAGGCCTGGGGGTTTAACTTGGTGGCAGAACACATGCCTAATATGCACAGTGATCTGGAATTCAATCCCTAGCAATAGCAATATAGAAAAAAGAGAAACAGAGAGACAGCGACAGAGACAGAGAGAGAGAGAGAGAGAGAGAGAGAGAGAGAGAGAGAGAGAGAGAGAGAGAGAGAAGAAAAAGCACGCTTGGGTTGCATGGAATTTGTTGTATGTTGACATCAATGTGAATGAGAAGGCGCTCACCTGACAGCTGTAATCTGATCCTCAACTTCATAAACACCCAGCTTTCTATACACTGCATACAATATTTTGTCACCTTGGAAAGCTGTCCCTCGACCATCCACCAAGGCAATGACTATGTCTTCCTTACTTGCAAGATAAGATATCCAGTTAATAGAGAATATAGACTTCACACTCTGGGTACAGGGACCACCATACCTAAAGGAAAGGAAAAAATAAATAAAAATCAAAAAAATTCAGAATGCTCTATAAAACTCAACTTCTAAACTGGTCTCATATTACATATAGTAATTACCAGTACAATAATGGGATAAAATTTCAATGACAATTGCATTAGAGCTGGCTCAAAATCAAGAGAAGATCAGGCTTTGCCCAGAGGTTTGTTACAAGGAAGTTGTTTTGGGACACAGCCTCTCCTATTCCCCAAAACGGATACATCTAGGGTTGGCATTTCAAGGAATATGTGTGGGTTTTTCGTCATTTCTGCCACCTGCCACTTGCTAAAAGCAGACATAAGATATACTAAAAAAATGCATGGTGTTTTAAGCAAATTGTGTGTAGGTCAGCACTGATTTTGGGTGTGATTCCACTAAATGTATTCCATTCCTTTATTTCTTTTCTAACTCAATTACATAAGATGTGAAGATGATTTACAATGTTTTTTTGGCTGCAATTTCTCTATCTCAAAGGTATTCAGACACATTTGGCAATTTGCCACATAAATAAAATTCAACACAGCTATACAAGCAAGTCCATTGAAAATCTCAAAACTTCCTCAATCTATTTTAAATAGCCATATTTTATTTACTCTGATTAGTTGAGGAATACATAAAAACAGCATCAATAGGAACTGTTACCAAGGAGAATGGCTCATTCTATTTTATAATTCTGTATTTCATTCAACATATTTTCAGTAAATAGTTTTAGACCAAGGAAAATATTACATACACTTGAATTAGCAAAGGATACTTCTTTGATCTGTCAAATTGAGGAGGAAGAATCATCTTGTACCATAAAGCTTTGGAAAACAAAACAAAACAGAACAATCTTTATTTCAGAATACGTATGGAATCATTTAAATGCTCTAATAAAATATACATCACAAAAGCAGTGATTAGTAGTTGTAAAATGTTAAGAATAAGAATATATTTTGAAAGGATTTTTAATATATATTTTAGGTTCAATTTACAAATGACTAGAAATGTTGAATTCCTGCTTGTTTCAGAAACACAAGCTGTAAAATTAAAATTAAGCAAGTTCTTTTTAAAAAAAGGTCAATGTTGAAAGAAAGCTACGGAAAAATTTAAGATCAACTGTATCCACAATCATATAAAAAATTTAGCGAAACCAAATACTGTTAGCGTAAAACTGCTTTTAAAAAGATCTTGCATCATAGGATTTGCAATATAACATTTACACTGTAATTTTTTAAAACCAGAAAAGTGTTTAGTTTTATAAGTGAGAAGTTTTTAAAAGATCTTACTAATTTCATCCACTTCAAGTTTCTTAATTTCTTCTTTAGGCAGCTGGATATGTTTTAAAGCATTTTCCAATTCCTTGTTGTCTTCTAGGATTTTAATTTCTTTAAAAAGTAAAATGTTGATTTTTAATTAATAATATTTCCATAGCATTTTTCTTAAATTCCTTTGTTTTTAACATGGATGAAACTGAAACTGGGTAAGTCTCCTTTAAAGATTTTCATATTGACAAACAGTTTGAATCCAGTTTTCAGGGCTGATATAAATGTAGACAGGACATTATGCTTCAATTGCTATCTCCTACACAGATTTTTATTTCCAAAACACATTTTGAGAATAATTATAGACTCAACAATATTAACTCAAGCATGTTTGTTTCCCCATTTTAAATTTATTCATTTTTTAACCTAAAGCCACAACCTGACCAAGTAGATGACATTTTACTTATTATCTATGAAAATATATAGTAGATGTAAAATCTATACCATCAAGTCTTCAAATTTAAAATAATTATGTAGTTACAGAGTTTTTAAATTTTCAATGAGTGAAGCCATGTGTTACTTCTGACATTTTTATGATTATTTCTTTAACCTTTCACTATTGTTTTTGATGAGTATAACAAATTCTCCTTTTTCCCCCCACTGATTTAATAACTGTGTACAAGATTTCTTTAAGTTTTATCTCCCAAGATTTTCAGATATCTCAGCATAACAACACATTTATGCTGTGGTCTGTTTTGTATCTTTAAAAACATAAAATCTGCAGGTTATACTTGAATTTAGTTTCATTTTAGCTTTTAATCTTTGAAACCGACAAATCCATTGATCCTCTGAATGTGACAGACTGATGATAGATGGAAACTGGCTTTAAGCAATAGCGAGATTTTTGTAAGCTTTATTTTGAACTGGGATTGTTAAGTAAGTATCTGAGGGAAAAGTAAGTCTTCTTATGGTCTGTGGATTTTGTAGCTTCATTTTACAATACAGTGGGCTAGGTGACCTGTGAGATGTAGTAATTATTACAAAAGAAATTCTGAAGAATTCCTGTTTGTATGCCTTTTTGAAAAAGTGGTCCCTGAAAATAGCGAATTGGAGACTTGTAACTACATTAAGTTTGCCAAACCATTTTTCTTGTGACTCTCAGTTTTCATATACTCATGGCATTTTGCTCCAACATGTTATATTTAATCTTAGTACAAGTATAGATGTTTTGGGTAAGATTTGTATAAAATGCATAATAATTTTCACATCATCTTTGGGTAATCTTAAGGAAAGAGATACTTGTGACACCTTAAAAGTTAAAACCAAAAAAAAAAAAAAAATACACAATTCTTGTAGAGCAGACCAACTCTTCACTCTCCTTGTGTGAATACTGTATGAGGAGCTGGGGTGGATAATGGGAATCCTGTGTGGAACAAGCACATTGAATGGTATGGCTTTGACTTCTTTTCTTTCTGAATTATAGTCTTGAACTTTTCTCATATACAGCCTAATGAAATGCCAAATGTAATTAAAAAGCAAATCAATATTTCTATAATCAGAGTTCCATGAGTGAGAAATTTTCCCACATCTTGAACAAATGGAATTCTGTAGGGCCATAGAGAGAGTGAGAGGTGACAACTGGACATTCCTATGGAGCTTTGCATTATAAAAGCTTATTTAATCTGCAAGGGGTGGTACGGTCCAGACTGTGACTTTTACTTTTCTTCACCAATCACTGTATACTTAGCACCAAGTATATTCAGTACCTAGTATATGGCATTCAATAAGTGCCTCTTATGTATTTGTAGACCTTTTATTATGAGACAATTAAGTGGTAAGAAATACTACATTTGATATTTAATTAAATCATGTTAAAATGTTATACTCATCAATTAAATTATGAAAAGAATCTGTTGAAAAACTGATAAATGCGATCATTCAGTCAGATAATTTTAATGGTAACTTGGTGTGTGCAAAGCAACTAATCCTCTGTTGGGTCTTCAGTGTCAAGGGCCAACTCTTCTGGTTAAAGTACTATCTGCTATTTTCAAAGTGCTGTCCTCTTTGCAGGGAAAATGAAGCCTTTGAATTGTCTTCCATAGAGTCTGCAAAATTCTATACATTATGCCAATAGTTTCTTCATTCTATCTTGCCATAACAAAAGAGGTAAAGTCTTCCCCTGTCTCTGAACTCTGCCCTGTTCCAACTTCTTAGGGACCTCATTGCTCTACTTTTTTTTAGATTCCTTTTTGTCTCCTAAATTTCTTCCATTAGCACTTAGTCATATTCAAATATTTATCATCATACAAGAAGAAAATGAAAACTTCATCAATTGCTTTCAGTCATTACCCTCCTGTTGCCTCCTTTGATGCAGTCAGACCCACTGGAAACTGTTAATTCTAGTTTGTCTCCTGGCCAGGTATAACCTTACTCAGTCTGGCCCAGTGAAACCGCTCTAGCAGAGATAGCATGTCCTCTTTGCTAAACCCACTAGTGCAGAGCATGTCTGCCTTCGTTTTCTTGCACCTCTGGTTTCTTCAGCTCTTGTTCTCTTTTTCTCTGCTCTCTAGGACACCAGGTCCTCAAGCTTGCTCCCTTCCTGCTGTTCCCTCTTACTCTCCCTTATAGGCTCATTTTTTTTTTTTTTTTTCATTACTGGAGCGTTGGTGTTCCACACAATTTTGTTCTAGGCCTGTGATGGTGAACCTTTTAGAGACGTGGTACCCAAACTGCAACCCAAAGCCCACTTATTTACAGCAAAGTGCCAACATTGCAATTAAATTTGAACACTGAGGTTTTAGTTTAGAAAAGCAACTCATACACTTGGCTTGTGTGCCGAGAGGAGGCACCTGTGTCATAGGTTCACCACTCTCCACTAACCCCATCCACTCTCATTTTCCCGCCCCAACAACTCTATTTCCAAAGCCTTCATAACAGTGTATTCTCTAACCCTGATTGTCATCTATAGTACAAACTAGTATTTTGACATCCACATCCAAAACACTGTTGCTGCAGGAAAGCTCCTCTTGGACATCCCATCAGTACCTTGAACTTCACATTCAAAACAAAATTCACCGTCTGTTCAAAGGTGTGCTGTACACAGTGAGTCCAGTCTTGCAGTCAGAAAGAATATATTTTAATCCACTTAACCAAGCCACCCATCCAAACCGTTTGGAGTGCTCTTTAGTATTCATGAGTCTCAGGTTAGATGTGGCCATGATTAAGACACATTTTCTTACTACATCAAAAATAAGAACATACGAGGTGCACTGTCTATGTGCTCTCATGTTTCTATCTTTTTCCTGTCTTAGAAATTTATCGTGCTGTCTCATAAATGCCTGTTCACACATTTGCATCTCCCAGGGATCTATAATCTCTTGGAAGATAGGGATATGTCTAACTCAGCTTCTATTATTTTATTGATCTAGTTCTGAACACGGTATCTGGTTTAATTTTGTAAGTACCCAATAAAGATCTATTGACTTTGAAGATTTCTGGCACAAACTGAAATGTCAGCTGGGTAGAAAAGCTACAAATAAGTAGAAGATACAGTAAATCTACAGTAAAACAGCAGCTGGACACTTATGCAAAGTAATGATTCCCATGCACAATCCAAGATTTACTGGATTGGAACCTCTGGGGAAGAGTTGAAGTCCTGTATTTATGATAAACATATCAGAAGAGTTTTATCATTAGGCAAGTTTAGGAAATGGTGCTGTAAAAGTTTGAATTTTGATTCATGAATTATAAAGTATAAAAAAAACACGTGATGGGCATGAGAGTGGCTTCAGCATTCATAAGCATTGGATGAGGTTAGGAAGCTTCAAAAGCCATATAGAGATTAGTATTTGCCAGTAATATAACATGGATATTAAGAAAAATGCTATGATGTGGAAATTCATGCTATAGGAAAAGGGAAGCTGGGTTTTATTTTAGTCAGTATAAAACTGAATTATATATCTATGGTAATTTCAATTAAAACAAAAACATAAGGACTTGAAAGTGAATTGCTTTACAATTTTCTCTCACTGAAGGTTGAAATGAGCCAAATTAAGAAATATAACCTACTATGTTAAAGAATATTTCATCATCAGACACAAAGTTAAAACAACATCAAAATGAAACTAAATTCACTGTTTCATGTTACAATTCCTGCCCTGCACGGGGAGCCTGAAATGACTGTTTCTCCTTATGGCTTTATTTTCACCTATCCTTGAGCCATTGAGCTGACAGCCAAGCTAATCCCAAAGCAGTGTCCTGACTTGTCACCAAAGCTGTTCAGGGACAACTGCAGGGATGAGCGGGGACGGAAGTGTCATCTGCGTGTTCTTCATTGGAGCCTCCTCTCCCCCAACTCCAACCCTATAACGATGTTTAATAGTAAATCGGACAGTAATGGAGAGCCAGCAGGATGTACATCAGAGCCACTGTACACTTGCACAACTCTCCTGAGAGCAAAAATGGTCACTTCTGAGCTGTGAACTATTTTGAAGCAATATCACAAATTCAGGAAGAAGGAAGACCGCCTTGATAGCAGTTGAAAATGGAAAGAGCTTCCGAATTTCAGGGTTTTCATATGTGGTAACAATGTGATGTAGCTGTTAACGAAAAAAGCTAGCATGAAAGTCACCCTCTGCTCTGAACCGAGCTGAACTGGACTGAACTGGAAAAGTTACATCTAGAATTTGTCTCCAGTTTGAGATGCTACAAAACAACGAGAAAAAAAAAAAAAAAAAAAACACTCAAAAAACAAAAGCCTCCCCAAAAAGAAGGAATTCTTTTTTGAGGAGAGTGTACTGAATATGCTAAATTTCTTTCCATTTCTAATCTGTGTTTTTTATGAGGCCAGTTGGAGAAGATAGAATTAATTCCTGTGGTAGAACTCATTTGTGTTACGCCAGTTTCTCACTGCAAATCATCATTAAATTTCATATGATCGGGTTTGACCTGACATGCAAATGTGTGTAATAAGAAGCTGCATACTAACAGGATTTCTTCACCATTCTTTGTGTGTGTGTGTGTGTGTATGTGTGTGTGTGTGTGTGTGTGTGTGTGTGTGTGGCAACAGTCCTGTTCTCTCTTGTGGAATATCACAGAGAATAGATAAGACAGTAGCTTTAGGTAAAATACGACACTGGCTTGAAGGAGAAGAGTACCTTGGTCAGTACGGCCATCATGGAGGGTGGAAATGGGGAGGCCTGGACCTGCAGGCAAGATGAAAAAAAAAAATGGGTTAGTCTCGAAGTAACTGTGTTCAACAAGGACTTCAGGTAGTATTTCAGATTATCGTCAAGCTTAAGTACAGTTTTTAATTCTTCAGTAATTTTTTTTCTCATAGAGTGGAAACACATTATAAGTTACATTTAAATGACACATGCCATCAGAGTTTAGTCAAAGAACAGATTCTAGGGAAGCATTTCCTGTGTATTTTTCCTAAAAGGATCCTGAATAGACACAAAAAGATCCTGAATAGACACAAAATGGCCTCAGAAGCTGCAGCAGCAAATGACATTATAGGAAGATGTCACATTATAACAGTTTTAGCTGTTTTTTTTTTTTTTTTTTTTTTTGTCAAATAACCTTCACCAGTTCCCAGGTTATGTTTTAAATTTGACTTTTTGTTTCAATGGTCAGTTTGCTTTGGTGGATAAAATCCAGCTATTCTTTGTGTAATTAACACATGCAGAAAGCAATTGTTAGGAAACATATTTTCTTTTCAAATAGGCTACGTAAACTCATGTTCCCTGGGAAATACATGAAAGAATGTTTGTGGGCCAGATGTTTATGTCTGGGAGGTAGAGGTGGTATTGAGATGCACCCTAAGCTATGGGGCTAGAAGAGGAAGGACAGGGAAGGAAGGCGAGCTTCTCAGAGAACCAGTCAAGCCTCAAGGAGCTAGATGGCCTTCAGAGTCATCTCAATGCAACAGCAGGGTAGGCTTTTATCTCCCAGCACAAAACATAGTCCCTGGATGGGACTTGGGACTACAGCGATCTCTAGAAGGGAGCTTGGCTATAAACTGTCAGTAACTAACACTCTCAGGAGCTGTAGAAATTAATGATTCAGTCCTAAAGGTGGAAGTTCTAATGGGTAGTGAATCAATGCCTATTACAGATTCCAACCTGGAATTTAGCTTATCTAATACAAAAATTGGCCATTTTATCAAGGTCTGAAAACCATTAAACACTAATTTTCTATCACTCACTTGAATTATAGAATTGAGTAATAGAGAAGCACCTTTAAATGATGTGCTTACTCAGGAAGTCAAGTTAAAACATGATACAAACGAAAGCTGAAGGGAGATGCTCTTGTCACCCTGACATTTTCTGTCACATTTCAGGGAACACCTTTCAAGTAATGCTTTTGGCTCTACCCAGTCCTGAGGAGGGATGTTTTTCTGATCAGGTCTGGAAGGTCTGTGTATGAACACTTGCTTCTGTCTTGCCCTTGGCATAGTTATGCACTCACAGACATGCTTTTTGTCCAGCCCTCAGAAGCTCTAAGTACAATTAAGCCCCATGTGGAAACATGCAGCCATTTTACCTGCAATTGTGCAATTGTAATTCTGAGGTGCAGTATTATAAAGCTACATATTTTGGCTTTACAGATAATAAAGCTAACATCTTTAAATCCTGTCTGACCATTCAGCTGAATTTGGGAATGGAAAAAAGGGGTATTACTAGATTATCTAAAAACTCAACAGCTCTTGTGTGATATCTCAAAGGTTCATAGAATGTAGTCGCAGAGATTTTCATTTGTGTAAGCTTCTCTTCAAGGTTATCCAAAAAGACAAACAGGAATATTACACTTTTGTCCCAAAGAATAAGAAATGAGACATAAATCTAAATTGCTAGACTTTAATTGATCTGTATCTTTCCAATGGGATGTTCATGGGTGTTCAGTTTCAGTAAAGAAAAATTCCTTTAGTTTTTGTCTAAAATACGAGGCAAACTAATGATCAACTGTCCTTGACACAGTAGACCAAGAATATAATCCTAGAAACCCAAGCATCAATGATCTAGAATTATTACTTTGCATTGCTTTTTCTCTATCAACATTGTCAGTGTGCTTCATCGGCTTTAATCCTGTCATCTGGGACTTATCATCTCTTTGGAGAGTTTAAAGTTACATAATGAGGCTTTACTCCTGGTCTTAAAGGGAAAAATTTCAAGGTTTTTCCTATGATGGCGCAGTGACTCATTTTACTGGAGCTTCAAAAACACCAGACGATGTGATGCTTCCCACACAGTATATTTTTTGCTAAATGGGAAATTACCATACTGCCAAGGAAGAGTGAGTGGTGGAAAAGTCAGGCGATTCAAGTTCTAGAAAGGACTCTTCCACCAACTTTTGATGAAAGCTTAATCTAGATTCTATATTTCTTCTTCAGGGAGTACTTATGCTAAAATAGAGATTAGAAAGGCAAAGTGGTACAAACCATGGTAGACTGCTTTATCTAAATGTTAAAATTATTATTTAATAACAATAGAAATGCATATATATCAGTATAGTGTCACTGTGTCATTGATACTTCTATCAACAAATCAGCACATTGCAAGTTTCTTGGTAGACTTTTCAAAGGGTAGCAATGCTGTAATATTTCTTAACATTTATTTCTTTAAGCATCAAAAGTCTATTATATATTAGATATTCTCCTAGATTTTATGACTATAAAGATTAAATAAATCAAACTCTGTCTATCAGGAGAGAAGAATAGATCAACAGATGACTCGGCATGGTCAGTTCAATCGTGCTATGTGCCTGGTGTGTAAGCTTTCAATGCATGTTGCATAAATACAGAGTTTGGGTTGGAAATGTTGCATATAACTTGAGAGGGACATTTAATGTATACCTTTAAATGCCATACCCACAATCAGCACATATGGTCATGAACAACAATCTCTTGACATTTCAAAGATGCCACTGACCAAACATTTAGTGGAAGTGTTATTTTAAACTGACATCATGTGCCATCTTGAAGGGAGCTTTTGGGTTACAAAAGCTATATGCATATAGTCAAAAGAGCTGTGGCTCAGATTCTAGGGTCAGGTTGCAGGGTGTCCTTCATTCTGGTTCTCTTTATGGGAAACACACACAGGGCTTCAGCAGCTGACCAGGAATCTCAAACAGTCAGGCTCTGTTTGTTCTCTAAGCTGATCACCCCGGTTAAGGAGTTGATACCAGAAACAGGAAGGTGACATGCATTTTAGACCCCCACTTGCCAATTGCCCCATCCCCAACCCTAACTGGGAATTCACTAAGAGGAAGAGATCGAGATAGATAATTAGACATAGGCTATTTCAGTTTCTCAAACCTCCCTGATGACTAAGAGCCCAATAAATTTCACTGGTGTATAGTGTTTACCTTGTTTGATTGCTTGCCACTCATTCAAGATAAAATTTTGTGAACAAAGTCAAAATTATTTGGAAAGAAATTATTCACAAAACATACAAATGGTCTAAACAACTGGGAAACGTTTCAATGATTTTATTACCTATAACTTTTGTCATAGGTAATTTTCCAGATTTTGAAAGGATATACTGAGGGACAGAAGTTCATTTTCTATCCCAACTGAAACTGCAGTTCAAATAAAGATAGGCCTCCCGGAGAAGGTATAAGCCCTGAAGGCCATGTCTTTTTCCACTGGCTGTAGGAGTTTGGTACTTCTTCAGCAGATGAGGCCAAAGTCCAGCAATATTTTATCAAAGAACACTTCTTTTTATGGTATTGCTCCTGTTGTAGATAGCTGGCAGATTGCGTAAGCACACAACGTCATAATGCTACAGAACATGCTAGTTATAAGCATGTGATTTAGTAGCAACAGACTCTAACCCCAATCCTGGCTGATGCTTATCAGCAGTATACACCTTTGGCAAGTTACTTTGTTTTCTCAAATGTAAAAAAGTGACGATAATACCTTCCTGCTTTCCTTTCAATTTTCCCTTAGGTGTTAGAGGAAGCCTTACAAATAAAAAGTGCTCAGTAACAAATAGCTAAAGACTGTTCCCAGTGGTGGTGACAGGCTGATTACAATGATAGTGGGGATGGGAGTGCTTATGTTAGGTCCATCACCTACCATAGCAGATGAGTGCATAGTACTTGGCATAGTAACTGAAACTTGCTGTGTAATATTGGCACCTTTCTTTCCTTAGATGGCAAGTAACACACTTCTTGCTTGGAGGATAGCTTCCAATGCTAATTCTAGAGGGAAATGAAAATAAAACTAAGCTGAAATTTTGAGATTGTATTTATCAAAATGTACTACTCCATGTAAAGTGACTAATTTACATATTGACATCAAACCCACTCTATTTTTCTGTTGCCAATATCATTTAAAGTAAAGGGGAATCACAGTGTTTTGATATAGCTTGATTTTTGATTCATTTTTGCCTGAAAAGGCACAAAATTTGAGGGAGAAATGCTCTGTGGTTTTCCTGAAGTAGGAGAAATAACTAACATTTGCAGTAGGAATGAAGTTAAGCCCTACAACCATTAACCTATTACACTTTGCAAAGTGGTTATACACCCATAATGCTTCGTTTTGCCATCTCTTTTTCTACCCCACAGCAAAACATCCACGGAAGATCTGTCAGCATTGCCAAGAAGGGGTCCTTGGCTTTATTCAACATATGGAAGAGGCAATTAATAATAAGCAAACAGGACTGAGGATGTAGCTCAGTGGTAAAGTTCTTCCGTTGCATACACAAGGCTCTGGGTTAGAGCCCAGCATCACACACACAGACACCCACCCACCCACCCACACACACATACACACACACATAAACAAGTGGGGAACAAGAAGTTACAGTTTGTGTGCCTCCTGTGGCTTTGTTCTTGCAGAAATTTTGACTCATAGACACCCACTTTGGGAATGAGCCTTTTTCACATCCTTGCCCAAGACAGTTGCACCTTCCACGGTGGTCCCAGCCTCACCCCAGTGGTTACAAAAATAAAAACAGTGACTGGCACGCAGTAGATATTCAATAAATAAGTATATAAAATAAATAGATTTCCTCAATGTTAAATAAATCTTCTCAATAATTACTAGATTGGGTTGAAATATTAATATTATTTATATCAACATTAGAATTCCCTGCTTTATTTCCTTTTGCTAACAAATACTGAGTTGCCGAACATTTAAGAGCTTATGCTTTATGCTGATATGATAGTATATCTTCTTCTCTGAAAGTTTTATTTTGATTGATAAATAATATCAGCATGAAAGGAGTCTGAGGCAATAGGATCACAAGATCAAGTGACCCATGGACAGGTTGGCAGAACCTCTTTTCCAGATAAAATAAAATAAAATAAATTAGACTGAAAATGTAGTTCAATAGTAGAGATCTCTAGTAACACACACAAAATAAGATTGTCATCACATTTCACAGTTTAAAGCTTTTCCACACCTCTTGCAGACTATGACGTTTTCTTTTAAATATTTGTATATGTCAATACCAAAGTTACCTGTAGATATTTTTCCTTCCAGGGTAACCTTCAAATTCATTGCTGGAATAAAACCTGAAAATATATTCAGAAATTATTTAGCATTGATGATTCAATAAATACAGTTCTGTTACAAATGGTACATAGTAAACAATACAGGCAAACATTAATCTAATGAAACTATTAATTGACACTTATATACACAAACCACTGCTGCTCATAACTGAATTTTGGGTTTTTAATGTGATCTCTAAATCATCTGAGAAAGGTTAAACTGTGTATTCTTTTTATCACAGATATGTTCTGTTTCGTTATGAGTCATATAAGATAAAATGTGATTTCTAATTAATATTACATATTTTTCCCATGAGTAGTAGCAGTTTACTAGCTTCACTGTTTTTTTATTATTTTTGTCTGTGATTGAAAACACATTTTAAGTTTATTTTATAGAAGCCCTATTAGTAGATAAGTTTATCATAAATCAGAGACATACATCCAAACTGGGATTCCACACACTTTAGGGCCTGCTAATGCAACCAGATGCAAGACAAATCCCAAGAGAATACACTTGCTATGTAAGTATTTAGGTAGCTTTTTAACCTGCCTGAATATAGATATAAAGTGGGAAATTCACTTTAGTGAAATGATTTTCATTCCTCTGTAAGTTTATACAACAAAATAACTGTCACATTTTTTTTCAGTTTTTGCTAGTCTCAAGAAGAATGAACAGAATTCAGCTCATTCCTAGTACCAAATTTACATTCTAAACATGCATATTTCTGGCTTATAGCTTTACTAAAGTCACATGACTCCAATCATCTTTTGCTTGCCTTTCCCACATAATTTCCAAAAACCTGTAAATAAGTTGCTTAGTGCCGTTCCCAAACGACTTCCTGCAGCTTTCCTGTGATGCCGCTTTCCCTGATTGCTTTCATCTCTGACAGTGTAGCACAGTCTGTTCTCCATCTCTCCCCATCACCAATCCTGATCTGCCTCCACCTGACTTAACCATCTCATTCATTTATCAAATGTGTATTGAGCTTCTCTGTGTCAGGTATGGTGCTAAATGCTATAGATTCATAGAAAAGAAGGCAGCATAGTTTTGTCCTCTAATTCTATATTCCATTGCTGTGATTCTAGTTTGAGGCTCTATTGCCTAATACCAACATTGTGACCATAGCTGGCTTTTCTTGCCTTCAGTTTTCTCTACCTCCTAAATGCATTATGCCTAAAGTTAATCTCCCACTTCCTTTGCTTTAATGATTTTCATAGTTGTTTCATATAATGTCCAAATTCCTTTGCCAACCATTAAATAATTTCACAGATTGACAACAGAGTTCTCATAGAGTCTCTGCAGTGAGCTCAGACTAATGATCCTGTTCTTTTGCTTCTCAAATTTTAACTAACGACATACAGAACATGAGCACTAAGAGGCAATCCCTGGATTTAGACTACATAAAAGTGACACATAGGAAGTGTTATCTTCCTGATTAACTTAACATTCAACGACTGTTGCAAAATGGTTAATTCAGATACTATGTAGGATAAATTGAAAAGGAAAGAACTGAAAGAAAGGAGACTTCTATTCATATTAAAAACAAAAGTCTTAGATTTAATGTGGTTTAGATCTGAATCCTTGTCTGCCACTATCTGACTGGCCATTGGCCAAGTTAATTAAAATTTCAGAGTATCAGTTTTCTCACCTGTAAAATGAGATAATCATTTCTACTTTCCAGTATTTGGTACACAATAGTTTTTCAATAACTGACAGATCTTACAGTTAAAAATATTAAACAATAGTGAATCATTTCAAAAATCTGCTATATCACATGCCCTCCATTGAATTTTGAAGCTTGCTTATTTTGCTAACGAAGAAAATCTGCCTTTAAATCATTATTTGAAATTTGTGTACTTTTTATATAATTACTTATTAAACACCAGAAGAGAAACAAGTACCTATTAAAGAGCACAAAAGGAATTCACATTAACTAATCATTAAGAATGTACAATCTTAATGGAAACACAGCTGTCTGAACTAAACTAGGGAGTAACGAAAATGCTCCTTTTGTAAACTAAGAGAGATGCAGCAAAATCGTTTGTACATCCATCAGTCAGTGCTAATTAAAACCTGAATGATGTATCTTGCTTCATGGAATACTTACAGTGAATCCTGTGTTACTCTGAGTATATTTATGGCCTCCCACTTGCCACTTGTAATTTGAATAGCATTTTCCTATAAAAAGACAAACATTATGTTGTGTGAAGCTAAGCGTTATTTGAGCAACCTCAAGTGAATGATCTTTGAGGAGATAAATTTTAGAAGGAACATACCACAGTGTCTTTGATGTAGTGAATATGTTTGTAGCCATCCTTGTCGCTAAATATTTTGTAGTATGAAATGCTATCATAGCTAAAAGTTGGTGCTGAAACAAAGAACTGAAAGAAATTAACAGAGGCTATGTTAAAAAAATAAATAAAAAACAGACCAAACTAAAACCATTTTTATGTGGTGTGTGGTCCTGTTTATAGGAATCAGACTACCTTGCCCTCCCTATTATCCATCATTGGCATCTGAAGTTCCAGACTTTCAAGAGACAATTATTTCAGTGATTCTAATGGGTACTTATATTCTCCAATGGTGCTTGGTTGTTACTGCTTACATGTGAGTTTGTGATGGTAAAATTGATTAATTTTCTATGTTTTATAGTTATGTTCTTTGAAAGACATAAAAGAATTACAAACAAATGCTGATATTTTAACCAACTCAAACTTTAAAGTGAGATATTTGAGCAAAGTGTGGCTTTTATTAAAGCTTATGGTACTTTTAATTTTTGATTTGTCTAATGCCAAGTACCTAAGGTCAATGATATAATGAAGATATTTTAAAGATTAAAATGTCTTGAAGGAAATTTACTCCTTGAGACAGAAAACCTGCCTACCTTACTTAGTATGTGATGGGAATCACATAATTACATAAGGCAGGGTTCCCAAACCCTAAGCTATGAACTGATACTGATCCATGGGCTATTAGGAACTGAACCACACAGTAGAAGAAGTCATGGGAGAGAAAGCAAACTTCATCTATATTTATAGTTGCTCCTATCATTTGCATTACACTTGAGCACAGCCTCCTGTCAGATAAGCACAGCATTTGATATTCACATGAGTTGGAACGCTTTTGTAAACTGTGCATGTAAGGGATCTAGGGTTTGTACTTCTTATGAGAATATAATGCTTGATAATCTGAGGTGGAGCTGAGGCAGTGATGCTAGCACTGAGGAATGTAATTATTATACATAACAAACATTTATTAATAACAAATAAAGAAACAAAAACCCCATTAATTTTGGTCAGTGGAAAAATTATCTCCAATGAAACTGAACCTTGGTGCCAAAACAGTTGGGAGCTAGACATTCCTGTGTGGCTTGGAACAGAACAAGACATACCTCAACATCCTAAACAGTGCAGATAATTGAAATTCTGCAAATGTCCTCATACCAAATTTCTACAAATAGTATGTTTCTCCCATTGATTTGTCTTATACTTTATAATGCTTTTGGAATTTGTAACATAATTAAATGAAGAGAGAGCTACCATACATCATGCAGATTAGATATTTCTGTACATAATTGGAACCATGCTTCTTTAGTTGGTATCCCTCTGCAAGACTATAGACCATGTTCTGAGTCAGGCAACAAAAACAACAATCAAAACCTACTAATCACCCAAACATACAAAAAAGTATCTTTCAGCTACAAATCTGAATATCCTGAGACCTAGTCTGAAGTCCATTTTTGATTGAGATTAGAGGAAGTTATAATAGGCTTTTTAGTGGTGGTACCATATGTGATTTGATACTTCTTGTCTATTAATGAATTAATAATGTTTTCCTTAAAAAGATGATAAATATTTAATACTAAAATACACCTTATTTTATGTATCTGTAGTGATGTATCTGAATATTACCTCCAAATTTATTTCCACCAGGAACATCAGATTTTGTCTGAAAATAGGGTCTTTATATATGTAATCAAGGTAAGAATTGATCATACTAGATTAGTGGAGATCTCACATCACTAAAAGATGTGGAAGGATGCTATAGGAAAGCAGAAGCAGAATTAGAATGATAGAGCTATAAACTTAGGCAAAACATCAAAGGTGAACAGAAACTATCTGGAGCTAAAAAGACAAGGAAAAGTCAATCCCCAGAGACTTCGGAGGAAATATGGCTGTGTTACAGCCTTGATTTCAGGCATCTATCTCCAATGAGATGAAAGAATTTTTGTGGCTTTGAGCCAACACATTTGTGTAATTTATTATATTACCCCTAAGGAACTAATACAGTTAGTTAAGTCTGGGCACATTGGCTGTGGACACCATTAACCTAAGGTTGTCTCCACACTTTGTGTTCTGTATAATGGACTGCAACCTAACAGCAAAATCTAATTCAAGAGTATCATAAATAGTTGGGTTTCAGCCAAATGCAGATAGAAAACACATCACAGTATGCCCAGAAAAGGCAAAACCCTAGAAAAAATAAGGTGATTTTTTCTACTTTGCTCTGAGTTCATCTTAGTGTTTGCATTCCTAGGTGGAATTCTCTGGAACACTTCCAGTTCTGAGGGCTGCATGATTTATGAATTATCTTTTGCTCAAATAAACTCAACTAAATTTGTCTAAAGGTTTTATTTTAATAAATCTTTAACATAAATAGAATAATTAGGAACTGGTGTCTCCTTATATTATTCTTCCATTAGTTTCATGAATAAGATCAGCTTTGGTAGGATTTTTCATAATGAGACCAAAGAATTTAGGTGAAGTTAAGAGACAAGAGGGTGAGTAATAGGAAACTTATTTGTATTTTGTGGATGGATTTTTTTTAACATATGACAAAATCATACTTTTATTTCAGAAGAAAGTTTTCCAAAATGGTGATATAATTACATACTAGTAGCATCTTTACAGTGTCTACCTCTTAGTCTTTAATATGAAAGACAAAAATTGGTTCTGCATTGTTTTAGTCTTTAAAACGTAAATGAGTCACAAATCACTTTAAGGTAATGCATTAAAAAAAGCAAAAACAAAAATAAAAACAGAAACAAATTATTCACAGTATTTGCAGTGAGTTAGTGAAGGAACTTTTAAAAAAGTTTTATTCTGAATTAAAACTTAAAATTTTACTTTTATTGAGAATAAAAAAAATTTAAAAGGAAGAGTACTATGTTTTAAAATATTAGAATCAGGCAAACAGGAAGGATCCTTTTGCTAAGCAATGACTGTTATCTTTCATTACGCACATTGAAGACAGCTGCTTTTGATGAGCAGGTAACTTGGGCGAGGTAAAGAGAGTGTGAAATATTTCCGCTCTCACCTTGCCAGAGCTGGGCACATAATGCACCCTGAGTTAAGTGCTTCTTGCAGTGTCACACCTGGACCTTAGATAAGCACGTGCAGTGAGGCTGTCCTCAATTTTAACAAGTCTCCTATACTGGTCCTTGGATTTTCTGATGTTGCGCATTTCCAGGTAAAATGCAAAACCTTTAAAAATATTTTCCTTGGGAAGTAAATTATTTACCACCCTGTTCTATTTTGTTGTTAAATGGCATAAGGCTGATGCCTAAACTGAGTTCACATTTAGTCAAAGCTTAGACTTCCCATTATTAATTAGAAAATTCAGTTGTTTAACCAAGAGCTTTTATCAACAGTCCAGAGGAAGTATAGGGTTTTTTAAAAGTTATTTTAAAATAGCTTGAGTGTGGCTTTACTGTTTATGAATTAGGTTTTCAGTGTTTGTTTTCCAAACTGAAAGGATTAAATACTAAATTCTTTCATTAAAACTTCCTCTTTGGGGGCTTGTATGAGAAGAAATTTAGCTAAAACAAATTTGTTATCTTTCTGACCAAGTATCGAAAGAAAATCTTAGGTTGTTTATCCCAGTTAAGAGAAAGAATGTGCCATTAATGGAGGAAATACACTGAAGGAAAGTCACTGGCTAGCTCAGAGCCTGTAAGTCAGTTAATTTTGGTAAGTCACTTAATCTCATTTAAAAATCTTACCAAGTATTTATTAATTCACTAATTTTGGTGGGAATTAGACCCCAAGTCCTCATGCAAGTTAGGTAGCTGCTCTCCAACCCCTATTATAAGTCATAGATGATTTCCAAAATTCTCTTTCAGTTTAAAGCTCTGATAAATTCTACAGGAACCACTTGTCTAAAATTGTTCTTTACATTTATACCAATATCACTAGCCTATGTATTTTTTCTGAGGATTCAATAAATATTTAAACGAGGGCTGGGAATGTAGCTTAATTGTAGATTGCTTGCCTGGTTTAAGCCCCACCATCACAAATGCATGCAAACACTATCTGAACAAACACGTAAATAACAGACATTTCTAGTTGTTTTCCAGCTTATTTCATATAGTCATTTGTTTATAAGTTATATGTTATGACTATGTTTGTGCCCTCTTTCAATGGGAACAGAAGAGTTGACAAGGCAGGAGGCTTGAAAGGATGTGAAAGCTATTACATAGTTTGACAGTTCTTTTAGAATTTAGAAGGTTCACTGACAGGTAAATTTTAAGAGATTGAAAGGAGTACATAAGAAAAATCAATTGTTCCCAATATAATTCTAAGGCTACAGGAACATGTGATTTGTCACAAAAACTACATGTCCCAGACAAAGAGCTGATTTTTTTCCTAGATTTAACCGGGCTTGACTTTAGACTTAATAAAGGGACCTCATCTCTCAATAATGCTCTTCCACTGTATTTTTTAAAAATTCTACAATTTTACAAGGCATTAGTGCATTCATTCATTTTTCCAACTCATGTTTAATAAAGTAAGGTCGATGCAATATGAATTGTAAAAGTTTTAAGAGACAATTGATCTCAAGAGTCCTTTCAATGGACAGATTCTAAAATGTATCAGAGTGTGGCTCTATACATTTTCAGAATAAATGTACATGAATGTCCAAGATAATATCTTTGAGAAAGTTGTTGGCACCAATGTTGATCTATTTGTAAAATCATACCATTCAATAGTACTTTATAGAAAATCTAGTTGTATTTTAATCATGAAGAACACAAATGTTTTTAAGCACTTCCTTCTCACTTTTCCCTAGAAATCTTCAAAATGAGATACGAATGAGTAGATTAACTGTCCTCTTTCTTCAAATTTTTAAATACTGATTTAGGAATAATCCAGTTAACCAAACATGTAGAAAAATTTATAGAATATCTTTCCTTCATTGAATACTGATAACTTTTCCAGTAATAATATAATACAGAGGCAAGTAAATTTGGATAGGACTTACTTTTTTAAAAAAAATTATTTACCTATGCTTGTTACTTTAGGATAGAGTTGCATTTAAAAATAACAACTGCTCCCTAGTTAATGAAAATGAGCATTTTTCAATGAAGACTTAGTATGCAAACAATGGCGTACAGGCCCCAAAACTATTGGAACAGAAAATATACAGCAAAGAGATGTTAGTATCAGAAGACTTTTACTTCGTATTTATTTTTCCTTAGTCATTTTATTCAAATTTTATGAGACTTAACATATTGGAATTGATTTTCAGATTTTTTATGTCATGGATTAATGTATGAAACCAAGTTCTGAGAGTTTCTTTCTGGCATATTTTGTCCAAATTTCACAAAGCAACTTTCTCCTATTCATATGCTAGTTGAATTCAGTTATGTGCTTGTGATAAGAGGCAACATCTACTTCACATTCAAATGTTCTGTGTCTTATGTTCATATAAGATAAAAATACAATTGATAATTTTATACTAAAATCACCATATAAATCTATACAACACTTCCAGATAAAAATAATAACAAACCACAACTCTCTACATATTTTTCATATTTGATACCAAATTGTGACTTAAAAAGTGACACGAATATGCATGTATGGAATTCAGCTCAGTTTTTAAAATTTAATGAGATAGTTTGTCTTTAAGTTAGAAAGATTCATAATATGCTCACTTTTCTTGAATCAAAATGATTTTCCCTGGTCAGGCTGAGACTGTGTCACTTATCGAAAATTGGCTTTTGTTTTGTGGATTTAAGAAGTAATATCTTATAGATGTAAGAGAATAAGTTGGAAAAACTTAAATTTGGGACGTAAAAAATATGATTTGTGCCCATAGATTTAGCTTAGCAGTGTAAGCTCCTGCCTGGCAAGCGTGAGGTGGAATTCAATCCCCATTACAATATATATATATATATATATATATATATATATATATATATTGTATATATATATGATTTGTTCTCAAAAGCACTGTAAAACTATAGACATTGAAATAATCTGGCACAAAATCACTTTGTAGATTGCTTTGTGCTTTTTACCTTGTATTTTTTTCTACAAAAACAAGTAATGCCAACTTAGATATCTTGCAAATTAACCTTTAATAGCTAAGAATCTGTCAAGTGTTAGTCATTAAAATACAAGGAAAATATAGCAAAATCATACTCCACCAGCCCAGCCACTTCTGCTTTCTTCTACATGCTCCTGGGCCTAAAAGACAAAAGATCACATCAAAGATGATATCAGTAGATTATTTTTTTTTCTTAAGTTTAATCTGTTAATTTGGAACCAGTTAAACTGCCTAATCAGAGTCTAGTAACCTAAGGTTAACCTCTAGTTTAAGATTACAACAGTTTCTGTGTATATGGATTATGTAGGTGTTGATTCTTGTTTGCTATTTACAGCAGTTAGTCTATTTGCAAATAGATTAACTTGAAGAACGAGATTTCTAAAGATGTGAAAGGAAAAGCTAGAAGGGTAAAGAACAGTCAATAAGGCAGAAGGAGAACCAAGAGAAGATATATTGTCATAAAACTGTGAGCACAAAATATTTTTAAGAATCCAGTTTGAATTTTTTTCCTGTAGGAATAGGCCAGTATCTCAAAAACAGTAAGATAGGACTTGAAAAAAATAGCAAAATTTCTTATACTTATTTTTAGCCATAAAATTTGAATATCCTCTTTAGCAGAAAAATATGGATGTTTCACAGACTACAAAGTTTTAATGAAACCTCACCAATATAATTTCCACATAAGTATTATTGCTGGTTCCTTTTACCTTTTTATTTTGAGAATGACTTTCAGCATGAATAAAATATTGATATGTCATTTAATCTTAAATAGGATTGGTTTCCCGAACAGGAACACAAGTCAGGGTGGAAAATTTAGCATTGCTATTCTCGTCTGAAAATGCATCCCAAGTATTTATCAGATTATTTGAAATAGAAAAATCCTATGTTTATTCAGATTTCTGGTGAAAGTTTCTATTGCAAAGATTTTCATTGAAGGTGCATTTTAAGTGCTCTATCAGTTTAAGTTAAAGATCACTCAAAGTTTGATAAGTAGAATTTCAGATTCCAAAACAATCAACTTTTAAATGCTGAAATTTAGTAGCTAATACTTGTGTCTGAATTATAAGTCTTACAGTTTTCAAATGAATAAAATTAAAGCAGTAGTTTCTGATAACTAGATTTAGTCAAAGTATCAAAGGTACATTCAGCAAAGACTCACTAATTAGATCAAAAATTTCTAACTAAGTATAATTAAGATCACTATTCTCTAGTCCTCTCCCTCCTTTTGGGGGGCTATGATACTACATTAAAGACAAATGTTTCTGTTTTGTATATCGAAGTATAAATAAGATAGAAATCAGCCTCTAACTTATTTTTCTAAATATCAGCTTCTAACATTCCCTCAGAATTAGTCAAATAACTTTCATAGTAGTGACTTAAAAACTATTTTTGTTTAAGAAATGTTGGCTATTATAGTTCTAATTTCTTAAAACAGCCATCTGACATTTTCCTTGTAAAACACAATGTCCTAATTTTAAGATGAATTTAGTGATATACTTTGATTGTTCTCTGTTTTTTTTCTTACTTTATCAAATAGGTTATTATATGTTTGGTTTAATGAAACATTTCTTCATAATTTGGAGTCTCATAAAGTGTAACCATCAAATTTCCTGTGTTAAGAAGATATCTTGGATTTCTCAGTGTTTAAGATAAGTACTTAAAAGCAGTCATATTTGAGAGTTTTTAGGTTTTTGATGCATTAATTTGAATTTAAATTTTTATTGAGTTGTTGTTTTAGTACTAGATTTGTCTCTAGCTTTTAAAGACATCCCGCCCGCAAAGAGAAAGAACTGTCCTAAGATAACTGGGTAATAGGACAATCTGATGTAATATTTGAAATGGAAATATTTGGCTTCCTTTCAGTAATATCCTTTGAAATTTTTATTTTTCAATTTTGACATTGAATAGAGCACGCTTCATTCACTTATCTTCTGTGGTACTCTCGCCCTGCCCATGTGGGGGTTCAACACAAGACTTTTGCCCTTTTAATTAATTAATTTAGACCAGATCTTGCTAAGTTATGAAGTTGCTCAGGTTGAACTCAGACCTGAGATTATCCTGTCTCAGTCTCCCAGAGTGTTAGGATTATAGGCATGAGCCATCATGCCCTGCATTTTTCTTTAATTACATTATATAAAACATATTTATTTCTCTAGTAGACATATTTTACATTTTTGTCATTATTTGCTTTTTTAACTGTTATTTTACAGTCCCAAAAGACAAATGTGTATCCTAGCTGAGAACCAGATATCCAATTTTTCCCAAGTCAGACTGTCTCATTTTTGTTTACTCAGTTTCAAGTTAAAGTCATATAAGAAAGTAGCATGTGTCCTACTTATTTAATAGTAATGCTGGCTCTATGAATATAGAATATGAATATAGAATGCATTTTCAAAATCAGTCTCAAGTGGGATGCAATAATTCTAGCTTTAAAATATACAATGTTAGTAATAAATGAGTCTGCAGTATTGTGCTTTAGTCTTAAAAAACACGTATCAGTGGTATTAGTATGTCTTACCTTTGGACAATCCCATGTATTCCAGTCTTCCCTAAAATCACATATAGACAAGACGGAAACATTCTGAACTCTTTTTAGCCACTGCACACATACTCTGTCATCAGTAACCCACGTGAGCCAGGTGAAATAGTAATCACTGCAAATGAATCAAAACATGTTGTCATCACCATGAACCCATACCACATTTAAATAATTTCATTATCTACATTTTCTAAAGTTTTATTACTATTATTATAGAATACTTACTCATTAAATAAGGAATAAAACATTTTTGAATATTAACTATGCCTGCTGATTTGTTTTGTTATGTTTTGGTGGTACCGGGGATCGAACTCACGGTTGTGCCGCTAGCAAGGCAGGCGCTTATGCTGCCGAGCTAAATCCCCAGCCCCTGGTGTATGCCTCTTATTTCTGAAACTACGAGTTTTAAACAAAAAAGATGGTTTGAAGATTACTGAGGGATAATTACAAAAGTGACTGTTTAGACCTTTGCTTGAAGAAGAGTTCCCCGTTTTTTTTTTTTTTTTTTTGTTTGTTTGTTTTGTTTTTTTTAGGTTTTCTAGACTGGGTATCTCTGTAGTTCAGGCTGGCCCTGAAATCATTATGCAGCCCAGGTTAGCCTTGAACTCACAGGGATTCTGCCTGAGTCAGCCTCCCGAGTACTGAGATTACAAGTGTGCGCCACTGCATCCAGCTGAAGATTCCTTTCTCCACTCAGAGACTCAAAGGCTTCAGCCTCAGAAACTGCAATCTGAGAGAAAGCAGGTGCCCACTCTAGACAAACCTGGTGCAGCTGCGACAGAAAGGTCTGTCTGCTGATTTTTTTTTTTTAAAGTGCGAGTTCTTAGATACAATATTTCATACTTTAATTGTTTCACCATTTTTGGTGCTTTTTCTCTCAGTCCATTTTCCACCTATGGAGAATGGTGACTTTTTAAATGATATATTCAATCATTTACATCTTAGAAAATAATTTAAGGCATGAGGCAAAAGCTATTGGTCCATATAAAAAGGGAACAAAACATTAAATTTGCTATTTTACACAGGGATTGGCAAGTAAAATGAAAACATCAACTCTGTCTCCAGACAAATTTGCACTGGAAATTTACTTTTGGCTGTGATCATGGTCAGGTATTGAATTTGAATTAGTATGATCATTAGATAATATATAGGAAACAATTCAAATAGTATTAGTACATAGTTTCAATGAAAGACAGCAATGATTGCTTGACTCTGATGATATATAAAAAAGATCAATGTAAAATGAACCACAGGAATTTGACGTTGTCTATGTGACTGGAAGGAGTCTCAGGCCCAAAACCTAATACTGTGTTGGTAGTTATACAGTTTTGGGAAAAACCACTTAACCATTCTGTATTTATTTCAATATAAAATGGAAATGATATCATTATAATCAATTGCAATCTCTAAAGACTAGCTGAAAGGACTGAAGAATCATGTTTGCTGTATAATAAATGTTCAAAATACATAACCTATTGTTAATATATGCTTAATATTTTACATGTTAAAAACAATATGTTGACTCCTTGTATGGTGCTCTTTCATTCAGTCCATTTACCACCTAAGGAGAATCATGATGTTTTATTGATCATGTTTCCATCAACATGACTTGATAGGGAGATAGAAGATAATTTGAAAAAGTAGTCATTTTTAATTACTCGAAAGTACCCAGAAGAATCCTCTAACAGGGTTCTTTTCCCTATGAGATTCAATCAGCTTTTCAGAACTGTCCGATTCTTCTACATGGGGCAGAAGGAGAAGACCAAACTATGATCTGGAAATTTGGAAGTGAGACTCCTTTCCATCTTCCATTTCAACCAGAAAAACCATGATAGGGGTTGGAAAGTTGCTGTAATTCACGTTAATCAGTAATATCTAAACAAACCATTGTGCTGGTGAGGTAAGAATATATCTCCCTGTTTGCCTATACGCAGTCTCTAAGTATAATTTTACCAGGTAATTGAAAAGAACAACTTTCTGCTAAAACAAGCTGATATTTAGAGAGTGTTGGTTTTTCATTTCTTGTTTACCATGAGCATATGATGCACAGACATCTATAAGCCTTGGTTTAAGGAAAGTACATCAGGCGTGAAGGAGCCGTGCAGAAGGCATGTGTCATATATGAATGTATTATCTCCCTGGTGAGAAAAGTTTCACTTAGATTGTTCCCTGTGGCCACTTTTATTTCTGTAAAAGGCTCTTTTTAAAGAAATGATTTGTGAGAATAAACCTTGATTAATAAAGTCTAAAGTACTATAATTCAGTTAAAAAGGTGGAGGAATGTGAGATTACCTCGAGGCTATCATTGCAGGAACTGGCACTTGTCTGGGCCCGGCATGCTGAGGGTAGATGGTATCAATAATAAATATCCGAACAGTAGGGTTCTTAGCTCCTGCCTGCAAAGAAATGGAGATATATAAGCTCATATGATTCCCCTTATTATCATCTCATAGACACTTTAGGAATTTAAGCATATTTTTCTTTTTTTTTTTTTTTTTAATTTTATTTAAGGAGAAAAGGAAAAAAAAAGCAGAGAAAGGGTACAAGTTATACAGATTTGCAGAAAAAAAAATGAACAGTAGGAAATCACTAGTTAATGGATTACATATTGTCATCTTAGAAATAATTGTTCAAGTCACAAAATTAAAGCTTGTAAAGTGGACATTCCATCAATGATACTGCAAACAGTTCTGTTCAATGATCCAATAAAACTCTGTGATATCATTTTCTATCTTATACACTTAAATATACATGCAGTTATATAGTTTACAGCACTTTCTTTTCCTCTCTTTTGTACAATGACTATTACACATTTTGGGTTTCATTGCTCCCACGGTTCTTATTACTTTTTTGGAAGAGAGTAAAACCAAATGTGACATAACAGAACAGAATCGGTCAAGTCAAAAGGGTGGACATAATAGATAATGTGAAAACATAATACAAGGTGATCAACAATGGTTACCATAATGCCTCCCGCTGTCTCTAATAGAATTGCCTATATCGTTAGTTATAATACAATTGAACAAAACAGTAAAGAATAAAACCGACAAAACCAAAACATTGGAGACATTGTAGGTCTTCAAAAGTAGATAAAAGTCAACGAGAATGGGCGTTATAATGAATCTCATTATCTTCACAGCTGATGCCTAAATTTTCGAACCTGATACTATCCAGCAAAACAGAATAGGGGAACATCAGTTAAAAACCAGATGGTGAGAGTAATACAGGGCTTTAAATCGAGGTAATGGAAAGTCAAAGTGGGTTACTATAATATATCCTGCTATTTTTTTTCCTTTAATTAAAAGGATAAAAATAAAAAAGTAAATAATGGAGTGGAGATTGAGATAAAAGAGGGCATAACAATGAAACAGCACAGATCAAAACATAACCATTTAAGCAGAATAGTGTTTCACCACCAGATAATCCTGACCTAAAAGTAGTTACCATATTGTCTCTTTCCTTGAAATCCTTGAGTACAACTTCGTATACTGTAGCATTAAGTATATCAAAACAATGTAAAACCATTTAAGAGAATGACAGCATTACAGAGTATTTAGAATCGACTAACAGAAAATGAACAATGGTTTCTGTATAATCTCCTTGTCTTTAAAAGGTTTTTGCTTATACTATCATACATAATAAAATCCAGTAAGATACAACCTATTTAGACCATTGGAGACAGAAGGACAAAAGCTAGATGAGACTTCAAAACAAGATGATACTAAATCAGTATTACCTATTAAGATGTCATTTTCTCCAAAATAGCTGTTCCTATCATCCAATCTTCTCTTCTCTGCCTCATATATTTTTCATAACCACATAAGGTTAAGCATGTTACCTTTGATACTCAGTATGCGATCAGGAACTTAATTTTATTTTTACTTTCAGGGCAATTATAAATACTGTATTGATCAGAAAAATTTAGATATTTTAATTACTTGATGAGAGCTCTGATTTATAAGGAAAATTCTTGGGACATAAAACTGCGATATAACGGATATTATTTTCTGCTTCTAAAGACAGTTCTCTCATCATTAGAATAATAGTAATCTCATTGTGTGCTGAGAAGTGTAGAGAAGGAGGCAGACTGTTCGGAGAAGAGAGTGCAAAAAAAGAAATAAATGAAACATGCTTTTTGCTATTCTCATATAATTTGGATTAGGACAATTACCAAGTGCTCAGTAAGCTGCTGCATCACTACTGTACAATCCCAAAAGATGAGGAAGATTTCACTTCCACAGAAAGTGTCCATAGGATTTACACTTTTCTTGTTTTGTGCTTTCTGTGCTACTGTGTGCCTAAGATTTACATGACAGTATCGTTCATGCCTAGAAAGCTTCTTAGGGTTCCTGTTATTTTAATGCAGAAAGATAGTCTTACAGTTATAATAAAATTTAAATCCACAAAGTTTAGATACAGAATGTTCAATGATTCGATGTTGTTTGAATCATCTGAAGAAATTTTCAGTCTCTTTTCAACTCTGTTGGTTTAGCTAGGAAATCCTTGTTTTCCTAGCTAGAATTTTCCCATTTTCTTACCCGGCACCAGATGTTTCAGAAACTCTAGTCTTTAAAGAAGCATGAAAATGTGGGTCTCAACTCTCCAGTCAGTGTGGATACTCTGATTCTGAGTTTCCTCATCTCTTCTTGCTCCAATGTACTTTCTCAAAGATTCAAGTTCTTTTTACATGTTATTTCTTTGGTCTCAATAATCAGTCCTATGATCACCAAACATCTTGAATTTTCAGACTTTCTACACAGTCCCTAAACAGGGCTCCTCTCTAAACACTCATCCTTTACGTATATCATCCATAAATTAATTTATTAATTTATTTATTGTGGTACTTGGGACTGAACCCAAGGCCGTGCAGTGAGTGATATCCTGAGGTTCTTCCCAGCCCACTTCTTAGATAAGTTCTCATTAAGTCTCTGAATTGTCCAGGTGAGGCTTGAACTTGTGATTCTTCTGTCTCTGTTGTTTAGTGTTCAGATTTTAGGTGTATACCACCATCCCTGGGTAAAACATGTTTTTAACATAAATATTAGGCTGTGTGCAATCAGAGTTTTATCTTTGTGATCTATTTGGCTTACTTCAGAATTTCTTTGTGCAAATGCCACATCTATCCATGTTGTGACATATGGAGACCTTCTGGATCCACCTGTAACAGTGTTCGGTTGACGAGTAAAAATATGGGGCCAAGGCCCAATAGCCATGTTCGAAATTCACATCCAATTCCTTGTACAAAAGGTGAATTAACTTATGCCTCAGTTTCCTCTGTTAGTCTGTGATTTAAATTAAAATTGGGCTAGCTTCTTTACTCTGACTTGCTTATTCTACTGCACACTCAGGTCTCTTCTCTGGACACATAGACTGAATAAAAAGAATGTAGAACAGTAACCCCAGAATGATCAGTAAGCAGGAACTGTAAGCTCACACCAGCTTACTTTCTTTAACTACCTGAAGGAAGTAACTGATGTTCACAAATGTGACTTTTGTACCCACAAGAGATTATAACTCATGCCTGCTTCACCCTGACAGAACATCAGACCTCACATTTTTATTTCCCATTCTAGTTTTCATTTACATGAGAATTCATAGAACTGCAAAAAAAGAATTTTACCCTGAATTTGGAACATGAAATATAAAAAAAATTAAAAATAAGCTTGTTTTTCTTCCATGATTTAGACCATATGTTTTTCAAAGATTCTGCAAAGACTATTTCATCCAGCACAACCAGATGCCCAAAGCAACAGATGTCCATATCAACAATAGAGCACAGTATACTGTTTGCCTTACAATGCACAAGGACAAGTAGCTCTCCAAACTTGTTGATTCCACCTCTATTCATGGTAATGATTGCTCACTTTGAACCAAAGAAATGAAGCCATCTGCTAAGAGTATTCTGCGTACCTTTGGGTATGGAATATTTATGATTCGAGGATACTGTTCATCACCGTAATAAGAATAGGCAATAACTGGTATATCTGTATCATTAAATTCTGCATATGCCAAAAAATTTCCATTGGGAGACCACCAGAGAGCATATTTTGTACCAAGCATTTCCTCTGAAAAATAAATATGTATGTATTAATTACATTTTACTGATAATACTTCTAAATAATTATTTACTGACTATTTAACAGAGATGGAACATATTTCATACATTTGTTATTAGAAAAGAAAGTAGTTTGAATAAAGAGAACAGCTTAACCTTACTTCTCAATCAAATATCAAATAGTCTTGTTAACAATTGACATTAATCAAAAATGTACTTCTAAAAACAAATAATAAACACATCAACAATAATTAATTTTCCCTCAGGGAAGCTTTTAGTTTTTGTAGTAAACAAAAGTAGCTGAGACAGGGAGAACTGGAGTTTACTAAAAAGTGAAATAACTATTGAAGGTTGATTTTCTGTCCTCGGAATATATGTCTATCTGTCTAGCCTTCTACCTACCTAGTTAGTTGAGATATATTTTATGTACTCATATATCTTTAAGAAGACAGATTACAGATTAGAAGATCTTGTAAAGTACAGTGAAATCCTAGAACTTACATGGCTTAGAATGAGAGCAAAATTCAAGATAGTATCAAAAACTAAGAACATTTTCCCTCAAAATGGCATGAATAATTATGTAAGTAATTAGGGAAAAAAGATTATGTTCTCAAAAAAAAAAAAAAAGATATAGCACCAAAGGACCAAATATTTATTGGAATATAAATCATTACTACCACTTGATAGTAATGTTTATGCAAATAAATTCTATTAATCATGTGATATCAAGATTGTTTTAAAGTCTGCCCATCCTACTTATAATCTAACAGCAGCTTGTAGAAATGCAACCACTTATCAAAATAAGAACTACTCTTCTAAATCTTACTGAATATATAAAACGACTTTCAATTAAAAACCTTAAATAGCAGCAATTGTAAAAACAATTCACCTTCATAAACCCAGTCTGGGATACCATTAAATATTTTATTTTCTTTTCCATTATAAGTTACTTGAAAAGGTGGATCTTCTGGTCTTTGTTTCAAATAGATGTTGTTTTGATAGACATATGCCTGGAAGTGGTAGAAGCTAGTTAATCAAATATAATGAAAACAGTGTATTTGTTTCTATTATTATACTTAAGATCTTTGTAAATCAGTTCCAAAAAAGACCCACAACTAAAATATTTTAATTGGTTAAAAAAATCCATATTAACATCAAGTAGAATTTAAAATTCTGTAGCAAAAGGATAAAGTCTATAAGCATTTTAGTTTTATTATCCAAATAAATAATTATGCATATTGACAGAATGTCAAATAAGTCTCTGAATATTAATAGCTAGCCAGATCTAAACTTTATTTAGAGCCCTTAAATAAGAGCTTGGACAAAATTTCATGTTGTCTGAAGCTAGTCTGGGAAACTTGTGAAAACCATATTTTTCCTGAGTTTTCTGGCACAACACATTCTGGCTGAGTATAAGGATAAAGTTTTTGACTGCGATATTTAAAGAAGTCTATCCATGAGCTTGAAATTTTGCGGAATTCTCAGATGGGTTTCAATTTATCCAAACTCTTCCCGTTTTTAACCACGAAAATAGTCATGAATGTATCTTTATTTTTTTCCTTTCAGGCAGGGAAATTTAACAAAGGCCAAAATCAAATGGCTCCTTTTTTATTTAAATGATTAAACAGTTCCATAAATTAAACACGTACTAGTTTACTCCCAACAGGCGACCAGGATAAATACTGAATTGGACGAGGAAGCTCATATCCTTTTAGAAATTCTCTAGAAGGAAAAGAAAAAAGAATAAAAAAGAAAGAGAAGAAAGAAAACAAATCACTCTGTTCAGTGCAAATAGATACTGTATAAACAGAAAAATTAAATTATAAAAAATAATGACAGCTATGAGAAATACCTTTGTTTCCACACATCTAATAGAAAGCTGTTAGATAGACTGTAAGATAGTCGAACAGGAAACGTGAGTGATGGTTGCCATTTTTTCATTTCTTGCCTATAAGAGTCGCTTAACTTTTTTGAGTCTCAGTTTTCAGCCCTTTTTAGTGAGGCAAATGAATATATACTGTGGAAACATTTTTGGAGGCTAATGAAATCCTTTCATTTTATAAAAAATAAAAATTGTGATTTTAGAGAGATGACATAACTTTTTAAGATTACATTGCTAGTTTTTGGCAGACTCCCAATTAAACTCAAGTTTTAACCCCTGAGACTATAAAATGTGTACACACCAGATTAAGACGCTTGCTGAATTGTCTTCCAACTCTGAAATTCTATAATTGTGCTGAAGTTTAATGTGTGCTCTTCCACATTCTCATTCACAACCCCCATCTCTGTGAATGCATATGCATTTCAAATTTTGAAAATACGATGCCATTTGACAATCTCCCCAGGGATCTGACTTGAAATCAGAAAAGGAAAGGAACATCTGATCTCAAGCTAAACTGAAAAACAGATCTTATACTGGGCAGTATGCCTTAAGCTTGCAAAGTTCTCCACCCATGGGCAAATTTCAAATAGTCTAGAGGCCAAAAATTTCACTCTGATGTTTAGAATTACTGTGCAACTCTGCAAATACTCAAATGAGGAACTTGTATTGTGGAATCTCTATAGTTCTTTAGCAAGAATTCACTCGGATTTTTACGTGTTAAAAATCATAGGATATCGTGTACATGTTTTGCCTTAGCCTCTTAACGTTTGTATTAATAGTTTCCTCAAAATGGTTTCTGTGGGACAACGTGGAAAGGTCTACCTCCAAAGTCTAATTTGAGGAGCCTCTAGAAAGACTCTGCACTCCAAAGCACACTCTCCAAACTGGACCTAACATGTGCCTGCCATTTACATCTTTCTTACACTTTTCTGAACATCTAGATGTCAAAGAAGACTTACAATACAAATTACCTTGATTTAATTTATTAGGTCATGCAGCGTGATACCTAGCAATCAGTGAGGGAAGAAAGGAGGGGGATGTGCTTGGAGAAAGGTGACCATGGTTGTTGTACTGAAAACCGACAATCAGAGAGCAGTATGTGAATATCACACCCCTGGAGGTCAGTACCAAATACAAAAGATCTGAAGATACAGTGAATATTATGACGCACAGGAAGGTATTCTTCCATTCTGCAGTAGGTTTACAATTTTGTCTTAAGGCAGTGTTCATGTAACCTTTGACATTTAACGTAGCTTTAGTTTTCTATGGAGTGACTCATGGTATGCAATTTTGTAGACAATGCCAAGCTGAAAATCTCAGTAAACATCTCTTATGCCTGGCAAGCCAACACATCTACCATTTTCTGTTTTTCTCAGTCATCAATGATAGGAGATATGGAAGAGGAAAATGTTTTACTAGGCAGCTATCTCCTAAGTGTTCTTTACCTCACTTGAAACCAGAATAATCTCCATTTTCTATCTGTTAGATTGTTATAATCTTCAGGACATAAAAAAAGATTTAAAATTAGTGGCATTCAGTCATGCCTTGAATCTCAACCAATTTTATCATAACTTTGATTATATCATATTCCAATTTTTTTTCAAAAAAAAAACCCTGTAAAATTAAATAGCTATGTGGAAATCAGGAAAATAAAACAGTAGTTTAATTAAATTTACTGCAGAGGAGTTAAATATCTAATATGGTTTAGGTTCCAAAGTTTATATAAACAATGATTAAATGTTCATGTTGCCATTTTATTGTAGAATGCTTTTCAGTTTAATGAAGCTCAACAGAGAATTTCAAAATGATTAGATGAAAAATAAAAATATAATTAAAGTTTGGGGAAATTATACTGAAAGATTTCCTTCTCACTCATCCAACATTTTTCTGAAAGTACAGTTGGCACCTTAAATTCATTTGGAACTCCCTTTTATGTGCTTTTTGATTAACAGGTGCTTGATAAGTAACTCTTAGATTTGATGAAGATGATGATACTACAGAAAAGAGAAAGATTTAGACCCCATTAGGTGGATTTAGGTTCTACGTTAAGCAGTAGCTCCTATTTCTTACTTTAACAGTTTAAAGAGATCAGTTATTCTTGTCTGAATATTTGCAAGTAGATAATTTAAAAAAAAATTGCACCCTTGCTAGACAAAAGGAGAAACAGACCAGAAGATCTTTTCAAACCATATAATTATTTTTACCTTTTATGTAACAGCAAAGAAGGTATCATATTATGATGAGTAATTAAACCAATTCATTGCCCATACTTAGCCAGCGTGGTTTTTTCTAAAGTGCAAATCTGATCATGTCATTTCCCATTTAAAACCCTTCAGTGATTTCCTATTGTCATCAAAAAGAAATTCAAACTCTTTTTAATGGTTTCCTTATTATTATTCAGCCAGTGCTTCCCAACCTCCACTCTTTCCCCAACCTTAGCCAGACTCCCTCTGGTAAGTAGGCCCCTCCTCCAGTTGCAGTTACACTGATGTATTAGGGTTTTCAGAACACCCCACATCCTCCCTCCTCTTTGGGCCTTTTATACTCTTTCTTGTGTCTGGGATTGTCCCTCAGTTCTGACCTGCACGTACATTCCTTTAAATTATTTCTTGTAAATGGTAACAGTTTTAAGTAGTTAAAAACCTACAGAAAAATAAAATAATATAATAAATTACAAACATATTATGTAAATTTAGAAGTATATTTAACATTTTAAATGTTAAATTAAACATTTTGTCATTTTTGAAAGAATTAACTTTAACATTTGGCTAGTTTAAATAATCAATGTAAAACCAGTTAATGAAGTATGTGTTCAGACATAGCTAATGTTGTATGTATCTTCTTTCCTTCTGCCTCTCTCCAATGAAGTAGCCACTCTCCTGAAAATAGTATCTCATCCCCATGCATGTTTTTATCCTTTTACTACATATGTTTATTTCCATAAATAGCACAACTATAATTTTCTTTTTGAAAGTCGGAAAGCCAAAACTATATGGTGTATAAAATGCAAACTGGTATTAGTTAAATAAGGAGAGGTGAACATGCCCTAGAGATATTTCCTTTAATTTCTTAAGCTTTATATATTAATATATATATGTATATATATATATATATATATAATAAAACAGCAAGAAATTAAAATCTATAACAAGGAATTATAGTCTTAACTTCAATTCCAAGATTGAATGGAAAAGCCTAAGTATCTGTTGCAAGTGTCAATAAATAGTGGTGATGCTTTACCCATTCCTGAGATCATAGATGTGATATGTTGCTGTGTAAGAATATCTCCAAAGCTGTCAGAAAGAAGAGAAGCAGACATATTACCATATTTTAAAAAGCTCATATTAATAATGTACACTCATAGATCATCCCACTCAAAGTTCAGAATTATAAGAGACCTATTTTCACACCATTTCAAATTCAAACGGAGTCTTCTTTTCAGTTTTACTGTAGACTTTTGTGCTGTTTGTCTAACCTCCAGACCCAATCTCAGTAGTGATTCAACTTTCACTGCTTTATAAAAAGCATATCCAAAGTCATTTCTGAATACAGAAACTTCATCTTTGATACATTCTATCCTAGGAATTTTTTCTTTATATTTAACTTAGATTGAACTAAAGGCACTGTGATTGTCTTTTTTTTTTTTTTTTCCTGGTACTGGATATCAAACTCATGATCTCACACTTGCCAGGCAGGCACTGTGCCACTGAGTTCTATCCCTAGCTACTGTAATTTTTATGGCCCATAGAGATTACCCTGTATCTTGGCAAAGGTGATTTCCTTTAAAATTTGATAAACAGAATTTCATTAGGCACATAATTTTACTTCAATATGCTTCTACAGCTTCATTCACAAAGGGGAAATTAAGTAATAGTAAATAGTCTAGTGTGGTAGGAATACTCCCAAACTAGGATTTCAAAGACAGATTTACACCTTTGTCTGCCACTCAGTATATAGTACTGGGTTTGAACATTAAAGTAATTCTACACTGTCAAATTTTCACTTTAAATTTTATTAAACATTTAAGGTTAAACTAATAACCTTTCATGAAGTTAAATTTTAAGAATTATTAATGGTTTCTGATTTGCAATAGCTTTAGAAATTCAAGGATATTTCTTACTCTTCCGATAGATAGTGGTGTCTTGCCAGGAAGATTTTCTTCTCCACAGGAAGTAGTTTCCACTACTTACTAGTGAAATGCAAGTAATGAGTGCACAAGAATGCAAAATGCAGAATTATTTGTACAGGTCTCAGTTATACTTTTTGGGGTTTATTTACTTCTTGAATATTAAGGAATGAAAACAGATTGTTACTTTCTGCTTACTTTTATAAAGCAATCTTTAGATTTCTGGAGATAGAATCACATATAACCAAATTAAATAGTGGATACCTTTGAGTAATCACTTTCAAGATATGCAAATTGGCGATCAGGTGATAAACCATAATTTGAAGCATTCACACTTTTCTGAAATTGTAAAGAAGCTGATCAGAATACAGAAAACAAAGGACCATATAAATTTGTAGTACTAAAGCTATAAACCATCAATAAGCTCCTAATTACAATTTCAATGGAATTAAAAGATCTTTATGTAGTACCTATGTTTATAAAGCAACTACACACTGTGAGGGAGATGCAATTTGAGGTTATAATGGTAGGCTTGTCAATAAGTAAGATAACAAATTAAAAATTTATATCAAACACAATGATTTTACCATTGTAAATACATTAAGGAAAGAAGTGACAGAATCCAAATGAAAGGAAAATTGGTTACACAGAAGAAGAGAAGGTAATCTGAACTTTGACAAGACAAACTGGCCTTTAAAGGCAGATGAAATAGGAGCATTGAAAGCCCAAATGGAAAGTGTAACATGTGCCCCTGTATCAAGGTCTCCATATATTGAACATTTCTATGTCAGAGACTGTCTTAAACACTTTGAAATGTTATTTCATTTAATTCTTATATTAAACGGAAGAGCTGTTCTTATTCTCACTTTACAGAGGAGGAAACCGAGGCATAGAAAAGCTGTGTAGCATAGAACCTTGTCCAAATTTTCACAGCTAGTAACTGACAGAGCTAATAGTTGAACTTCAAATTCCTAACTCTCATCTTACGCCATACTATTCCTCAAAGGTGCGAACATGCTTAATTAAAAGCTAGAACAAAGTAGTCTAGTGCAGTCGTAAGCCAAAACTGGAGTACCATTGCGGTAGATGGACGGGGAAGACAAGTTGGATCCAGATCCAGTGCTAAGATTTCGAACTTTTTCCTGTGTCAGTGAAGACCTGGAAAAGGTTTCTGAGGAGGAAGATGAGGCTGGATACATACCATGGTGCTGTTGCTCAAAATTGTATATGATTCTCCTGTTTCAATATTATATAATATTACATTATCATCTGTAGATTGATGAAGATATTCTTCTCCTTTATGTAAGAAAGAAAGCAAAATTTGACATAATCTCTCTTAACAGGAAATGAATTGATAGTAAATAAAAGCACAACTTATTTCACATACTTAGTTTAAAGTAAACATTTTTTTTTTAAACCAGGGATCGAATTCATGACCTCACACCTGCCAGGCAGGCAGGTGCTGTACCACTGAGCTGTATCCCTGACCCAATAATTCTTCATAGATTTAAAATAATAAGTTGGAGATGGAAGAGAAGAAAGCATATTGTTTTTTCTATTTCACACAAAAATGCCACGTTTGTCTCCTATCCTAATTGATTCTGTGCTTCACTATAAAATTTGTTTCCTGTGTGTTGCAGAAAGGATGTACTGGTTTAAAATGGCATTTTTCTTTCACAATAAAGATGAATTACATTTGGGGTTTGTTTAGTACAAAGCCCAATTTAAATGAATTTTATTTTCTAAAGAGATAATTTAATATATTCAGTTTTTTAGTGGCACTGTATATATGCAACTATAAATGCCAAAAACTATTGAACTGACTATGTATTTTTTTTAGACTTTGATAACATTCTATTTTGAGGAAGTAAATACCAATTTTATGACCCTCAAGATGTATTGTTCGAGTGGGATTTTGTCTCCTTTACAATATCTATATTAATGGTAAAATTTCTTTTTGGGTAAAATTCTTATGATCTTTCCTATTATGGTTTCATGTCTGCCATGCTTAAAACTGTACCAGAAATCATGATTATTTCAAAGGTGCATTTTCAAACTTAACTTTTCTGCTAAAACTCCCATTGGCCTTTTAACCATTAAACAAACCCAAATCAAAAGATCTTACTGAAAGACTTTGTTGCAAGTGCTTCCCAAGTGTGTCCTATTTTTGCTCATTTCAACTGATACAATTTTAGTTACCATAAATATATACTGGTACTAAAAATGAAGCAATGCACATTTTAAAAAATCCCACAGAAGATAAATGAATAGTTCACTTACCTGAAATCCAGTTTGGAAAATATGTCTTATAAGAAAATGTCCCATTTAAAATATCATTCAGTGTGAGGGCTCTTGCTGTACTTCCTTTAGAGTGATAAACTTTGGGAAAAAAAGAAACACTATTAACAAAAACAAGGCTGACAACTCAAATAGTTTCTAAGCCTTGTCTTCATTCATTCATTCTTATATAATGATATGATATGCCATTTGCTAGATGCTTGTTTACCTCCTATTTTTTTTTTTTCTTTTTATCGGTACCAGGGATCAAACTCACGACTGCCTGCTTGCAAGGCAGGTGCTTTATGCTGCTGAGCTAAATCCCCAGCCCCTTACCTCCTATCTTAAAAGTAGTATTTCTAGAGAGGGTAACTAAGGTTGAGAGAGGCAGTTAACTAGAAGGGACAGTTGTTGGAAACATACAAAGAAATGAAGATTGCAGATCAGAACCACATAGAATAACTGAGATATTATTCTTCAAGTGGTGAAGAGCCACTAGGGGTTTCTGAGGAGGAAGGTGAAATGAAAGTCTACTGAATTTAGGCCTAGTACAGCCAAGATCACAGACCATGTGATTTGATGTGACAACTCACTTTGTCTTTTGGTCCTCTTCCTTTTTGCAAAAGTTCTATCTCCTTGTTTCATATTCTGTATCTTTTATTTTGCTCTTTGATTTATTTATACTTTGGGCTTCTCATATAATAGAAACTTTTATATTTAAACTTGTGTCTGATTTATTTTACTTAACATCATGATCTCGAGGTATCTGTTTTCTTATAAACAACTCAAATTTTGGAGAAGTGAAAAAAGAGGAGGGATGTAGATAAAAAAATTAAGATGGGTTATATACAGTTACCAGTGTCCCATAATAAATCTAATCATATGTACTGCAAACATGTACTAATAAAAATAATATAAGATATAAAAATAAAGGTCAGCACATTTGCAATTCACTATGCTGTCTCCTATAGTTTAGGCTTGGATTTCTACTGATTTTTATCAGTGATGTATTCTAGCATTTCTTAACTGAATGAGGTCAGGAAGAATACTTACTTTTTGAAATATCAAGAAAGACATTAATGATTCTAAGTATTTTTATAAAGAAAAATTAGACCAGAAATAAGGAAAATCATATAATTTTTACAAAGAATCCTTGAAATCCTAAGAGTAATTTGCTATAGAAATGTTAACCTAATGTAGCTCACAAACCCCAAGTAAATTTCAGTTATACTTCTAAACAGCTGTGTTTTTTCAAACTTAACCTTACTTTCAGAAAAACTCATTAGTTCCCTAACACATTAACTATATCAGAGAGATAAAAAGTCAAGAAACTCCCAAGACATCATCATACCCATACCGGGACTCTCTGTTCCTTCTAGATCTTCTTCAAGTCACTACTTACAACTAAAACTGATGGAAATGTCTTATCTCCTAACCAGAATTAAGAATCTGGCATTTTCCCAAGTGAAAAGAAAACAGTTAAACATGAGTTATCACTATATTCTTTTACTAAGTCTTCCCTAGCTTTCCATGCCTCTGAAATAAACACGAAAAATGATAACCTGTACTATAGACCTTGATCAGCATGGGAAGATATAATCAGCCAGCCCCTTACAGCCCTAGCATGCTTCTCTTAAATTTCAAATGTGCTAGGCCTTGTGTTCCTTGGATGTTTTCTCTCTGCACACCTTCTGTATCACATTATTTCTTTCTTTTTTATTTTCAAGAGAATAAAACCAAATGTGACAAAATAAAATAGAGTCAGTCAAAACAGAAGGATGGACATAGTACACGATGTAAAAACAAAATACAAAGTGATCAACAATGGTTACCATGATGCCTCTTGCTGTCTTCAAAAGAGTTGCCCACATCATCAGGTATAATAAAAGTGAATAAAACAGTAAAGAACAGAGGCTTCCCTTGAAATATGGCAGAGAGATAAGAGCAGAATACAGAGGTTTCATGAGACAAACAACTCAGTTGCAGAAATAACATATTGTGGGGATCCCGGACAGACAGAGATGGATCCTCACAGCCCAGAAAGAAACTAAAGTGAAAAGAACCAGTCAAACATGCAATCCCAGGCCTACTTTGAGGCAGCTAAGATTCTGTGCTCTCGCGCACCCGAATTCCCACCACTTCAACTTGCTGGAACCACAGTTGCACTGAAGTGCAGTTGCACTGAAGTCAGAGGTCAGCCAGCCCAACGGAGAACAGAGCCAGCAAGAGACCTGCACTGACCTGTGGTGAGTGCTGAGAATTCCTTCCACAGGAAAGGGGCACCAATGGGATGACATTTTGGAATTGGGCAGGACTGGCAAGAACAAGGAACAGCAGTGACTTCAGTCAGTTGTTCCCTTCCAGACGAGATTGGTGGGGTATGCTTGGCCTGGGTCACACCCCAGGATGAGACCCAATAAGTAGTCCAAAATTAATTCCTTATGTGCAGTACTAACACAGTGAAGGCTTCAGCAGGTTGACTGACACGGAGGGGAGGAGCCAGCATACACCACCTCTGTTTGCACCTGAATAATACACTAGAATGGGCAGGGTTACCTAGCCAGTGAGCTTCAGAAGAACCATAACCAACCAGGAAAGGAACTGGGACCTCCTCTATATGCTTGTATGGAAGAAACTAAAAACATGAGAAGAGGAAGCAACAAAAAAAGTCCCCAGCCCCCAACCCTGAGAACACTGACTCAGGAGAGATAAATACAAAAGAGATTGAGGACAGCAAACATGCAATATCAGATACAGCATCAGTGGACATAAAGAGATATCTTCCAGAACTCATAACCAAGTTCAAAAGTGAAATATTTAACCAAGTAAAGCAAGATATAAGTAGGTTAATAAAAGAAATGTTAAGCACCTCTCAAGAAGACACAGATGGAAGAATGGAGGATCACAAAAAAAAGAGAGAAATGTTTGATGAAGAATGTAAAGAAAACATAGAATACATGAAACAGGTTCAAAGAGATTACCAGGAAATTAAAAACTCCATTGAAAGCTGGCGAAATTGCTTGAAAGAAGCTAAGGATAGATTATCCAAACTGGAAGACAGGTTTGAAATGTGGGATTATGAAAGGAAAAATTTCTTAAAAATAACAAGGAAACAGGAAGTAACAATACAAAAGCTAGAAGATGACAAGAGGATCTATAACTTAAGAATAAAGAATGTGGATGAAGCAGGGGTAAAAACAGAGGAACTACAAAGGCTATTCACAGAAACAATTAAGGAAAACTTCCCAAGCACAGGAAAAGGAAATTCACTCAGATGAATGAGGCATACAGAACTTCAGCCACCTACAACCAAAACAGAGCTACACCCAAGCATACAATAATCAAGATTCCAGAAATTCAATATATGAAAGGATATTAAGCTGCCAGAGAAAAGAAACAGATCACCTATAAAGGAAATGCCATCAAAATCATGGCAGACTTCTTGACACAGACCATCCAGTCAAGAAGAGCTTGGAGCAAAGTATTCCAAGCCCTGAAAGAAAATAACCTCCAGCCCAGATTGATGTATGCTGAAAAACTGTCTCTAGAAATTAATGGAGAAACAAGATGCTTCCAAGACAAAGAGGAATAGTGGGAATTCGTGACCACCAATCCAACTCTATAGAGAATACTGCAGGACATTCTAGAGAGACAGAAAAGTACCAGGATTCCAGGAACAGTGGTAGAGAGGCCTCAATGAATGGAGTAGAAACTGTAATGAAGAAGAAAAGCAGACAACTAATGGCAGAAAAAGAGCACAACAGAAATGAGGCAGAAAAGGTTGGCTATAATCTCTAATGTAGATGACCTTGATACACTAAAAAAAAGAGAGAAAGAGAAACACAGGCAGAGTAGATCAGGAGGTAGGGTCCACCAAGATGTTCTTTATAGGAAATATAATTAACCTGAAAAAGGGTTTATGAACTGAAAATCAAATATGACAAAACAATGATCTATGTGACAGGGAACCAGAGAGTAATAGGGGCAACTCGACCAGTATTTGTGGATAGGTTGAAAAGACAGGCTTTAATAGGTGAAGGAATACAACTAGAGATCAAGGCCAAGAGAGAGAAGGCTCAGTACCACTTAGGTAAATAGCAAGTTGGCCCCCCAATTTAAAACTGAGGGTGTTGGTGAGACCCAAAAATGCACAATTCACCCTGGGGGAGTGAAAGGGGAGGAATAGTCTTAAAAAAGACAGCAGAGGATATTGTTATAGTGTATCAGGATTTAAAACCCACATTACTTGCACCACTCTGCTTAGATAGATTTTATTCTGTTCCAGTTTATCTACTTGCATTAGATCTGAGGGCACAGATAGCTATCCCAAAAATATCAGGATATAGAACAGTAATCATCTTTAATTTCCTATTAACTTAATCTGGAGCCCTTTATAACTTATACTGTTTTATCATGACTGATCTTAGTTAAATCTGGTTTGTTTGATGGCTATTTGATATCGACAGATTTTATTCAAAACTGTTATGATTGATAGTATCAAGTCTGAGAGTATAGACAACTACACTGAAGATGACAAGATTCACTACAATATCCATTCAGTTTGAATATTACCTGTTTTTGAAGTTTTACATTATCTACAAAGTTGTGTTTTTATTAATATTGTTATGTGTTGCTATATTCAATTATACTATGTCTGATGATATAGACAATTCTATTGAAGATAACGAGACAACACAGTAATCATTGTAGAACTCCTTGTACAGTGGTTTCATGTCTTTTTCATTTCATGAAAAAGAATATGTTTTGTTTTGTTTTGTTTTGTTTTGTTTCTCCCTGTAATATATAAAGGATAGAAATACATGTTAAGACTCACACATGCATAGAACCCATAAACAGCTTACAAGAACTAATCTTATAATGCATGATGAAATGAATAAATACTTTGAAGAAAAAGAGACACTACAGTACCCGGTGCTGATCCCATAGTGTCATGATGTGAAATCCAGCAATACTGTTATCCTTTCTTCAGAATTATTTTAGCCTGCTATGATTTGTTTAATCTCAACATAAATGAAGATATGGATAACTGCATGTATGTTTAAGTGTACAGGATTGATAACCATATTACTAAGTTGTTGTTG